GGGGCTGCGTTCCTGAGGTCTGTTTCCCCATCCAGCGCCAGGTGGCGCGGTACACACATCAGGCCTTCCCTGCCTCAACCTCTCTGCCAGGCTGGAAGGGACATAGGCATCATCAGGATCCAGATGAAAAGGGCCTCAGCCCACCCAGGCAGTGTCTCTACATGGTCCCCTCAAAACCTGTGCCCTGCTCAAACTCAGCAGCCCAGGTGTGACTCTGCATCCCCCTCTGCCATCGGCCACCAGCTTGGGATCCTGGGGCCACGAGGCCAGCAGCCCAGCCTTCCTCGGGGGACCAGCACCCACCTGGACTGGGAGCTGACCTGCCTGGTGCTGGGGGACGCAGCCTGCTCGGAGCTCGGCCTGTGCCTGGAGAGCCTCCCTGACGGCCCCTGCACCCCCACACCTGCCCGGCACCTGCCCGCCTCCTCCCTGCACAGAGTTGGGCAAGTTTGGACCAGCCGCCAGGGCCACCCCCGCCACCCTTGGTCCCCAGCTGGCCGTGTGCAAAGGCTGATCAGCAGCTGGGACATCTGCAACAGTGACATGGAGACAGCCCCACACAAGCACTTGGGACACCACCCCCTGCAGGGGCCCCAGGTCAGACCTGAGGACCGCTGGGGGCAGGGACAGCCACTCCCTTCCTGGCATTTGGAACCCCTCTGAGGGCTGCAGCCCCATGAGCAGGTCCCTCCTCCCTCCAGCCTGGCCCCTCCTGTCCCCCGAGGCTGCCCAGAGCACATCTACCCCACCCCAGGTGGCTGGTCAGGCTCTAGGACCCCCAAACACGGCAACTGCTGTGCCCATGGTCCATGATTCCACGGACTCTGGCCTGGGCCCTCCTGCAGAGCACTGGGGTCCAGCAGGCCTGGGTGGCCCTGTCCTGACCCTCAGCCTGGGCTGCAGGCCAGGGCAGCTCATGTCAGATTCGGAACTCACACGTCTGGGTCTCACCGACGTCTCCAGCTCTCTAGACAGGCTCAGGGCCGTCTCCCGGCTGCCCCAGTCCATCCAGATCACCCAGGGCTCTGAGACCGATCAAGAGCAGGGCCCAGCTCATCCCCTGCCACGGGTGAGCCGTGGCCATCGGGCACTGGGGCCCAGGGAGCTGCTCACCACCTGCCACGGGTGAGCCGTGGCCATCGGGCACTGGGGCCCAGGGAGCTCACACACCAACTCCTCTCCAGTGACCTGGTGGACTCTGTCCTCCCGAGACCTCAGCTCACGTCAGAGCCGTGAGGGCCAGGCCCTCTGATTGGGGATAGCTGGCCTCCTTGGTGTGTCCTGCAGCGGGGCACTTGCCTGAGCTCAGAGGGCACAACACTGGGAGATGACGGAGAGGGAAGGCCTGGAAAGCTGGACCTGGGCTCTGCATGGCCTTGCAGGGACACACAGGGGGACTGGCAGAGAGAGGACAGGGGCTGCCCTCATTGGCCGGGAAGCCTTTGGCCACAAAGGTTCTTCAGAGGCCTGCAGCAGGACCCAAGCCCACCACCTGCAGACCCCAGGGTGGGCAGCGGGGTCAGGGACGGTGAGATGGGGGTCAGCATCGCAGGCAGAGCCGACAGGGTCCATCAGGGCCTTGAGGGCCCAGAACGCACACGTTGGTGTTGACTCCACCTCAGTGCAGCGCCGGGACAGCAGCGTCCTGTAGCTCAGCAATTGCCAGTGTGCCTGGCGGGGAGGGGACACTGCAGCCGAACAGAGTCCACAGAGTGAGCCGGGTCTCAGAGGTGCCGGCCCTGCACCCCCTCACACCCCGCTTGCCTGGGGGACCAACCTGGTGGTCTTGGGGCTGGTGCGTGAGCTCTCTCTCTGGGCCGCTGCACCTCTCGCCACAGTGTGGTGGTCTTTATTTCCTGAGTGACTACTGGTATCAAGATATTCTCATGGTCCTACTGGCTTTTTGTGCATTTTCTTTGGAGATATGTGTAGCATGGTCTTTGCCCATTTAACTGGGTTGTTTTATTGTTGTTGAGTTGTAGGGATTCTTTATATATTCTGGATCTTTTTTTTTTTATAATTTATTTTGCCTGGTTAGGATGAGGTTTTGTTTATTTATTCATCTTTTTTTTCAGTTGATGATGGATCTTTCTTTATTCATTTACTTATATGCGGTGCTGAGGATAGAACCCAGTGCCTCACACATGCTAGGCAGGCGCTCTACCACTGAGCCATGATCCCAGCCCTATATTCTGGATCTTAATCCTACCTAGAACAGATAAACTATTTGAAAATATTCTCTCACACAATGCTCTGTCTTTTCACTTTCTGGATACTGTCCTTGGAGGTATCAAAACTTATAATTTCAATAAAGCTCAATTTATCTATTTTTTCTTCCACTGTCTGCACTTTTAGTATCATATCTAAAACATTGTGGCAAATCCGGGTGGTGAGACTCTTCCCGTCTCTTATCCTTGGGGAGTTGTATAGCTGTAGCTCTCACATTTAGGTCCTGGGGTGGGGTTTTAATGACTGGAGGCACAACCTTCTGCCCCAGGCAGCCCTCTGCCCCTTCCTTCTCTGTGGTCTTCAGAGACCGGGCGGCGGGGCAGGCGGGAGCCTGAGCCTTCTCAGAAGTCCTGCCCCAGGACCGTCCCCAGGGCCCACAATGGCAGCATTAGCCCTTCAGACAGGTCAATGTGGGGTGGGAAGGGCAAGTCCTCTCTCCCACCCCAGGAAACCTCTCGGGACCTGCGTCAGGCCAGAGCCCCAAACACAGCCCCCGTGCCCAGCGGGCCTGTCCTCTGGGAACACCATAATACACCACTCCTGACCCCAAGCCTTTGGAGAGGGAAGTGACCTTGGGAGTCCCGTGAAATGCCCTATGCTTCTCACGTGGAGGCACGAGCCCCACCCTGGCCCTCCAACAGCCTCTCCTCCTCAGTCAACAGCTGGGAATGAGGCCGTGCCACCCAGCCTGCTCTGTGCAGGGACCAAGAGGCTGACGTGTCTTCTGAGCACGGTTCACCTTGGGGGCGACTCTTGGGAAGAGGGAGGAGGCCCAAGGGAGTGCAGCGGCCTCTCTCTCAGCCGCACAGCCTCCAGGACTGCCCGTCCAGCCATAATCACTCTGGAATCTGACTAGCTTCCTGTCGCCGGCTCTGCTGGCCTAGTCACTCTGTGCCCTGGAGAGTTGCCTGGACTTCTGAGCCGACTGCTCACCGTGGGGCCGCAGCAATTGTTCATGAGGAGTGGCTCCCAAAGGCCGCCAAGCTCAGCTGACCTGGTCATGGCCTCTGAGGGCTCTGTCCAAATGTATCTCCTGCAGGTGCCTTGAGTTGTTCCACACATAGCCCTGTTCTGGATCCAGGTGTGGGCACCAGCTCAGCACAGCCAGGAGGCCACCTGGTGCCAGGGCTGACCTCCCTGGCCATCAGCATGTCTGTGCCAGCCCCAGTCATCTTCACATGCCCAACACAAGCCACTGTGTCCCTGTGTCCCCACAGAGTCCCAGCACTATCAGAACCATGGGTCAGCCTGTCTGCGGAGGTTCTTTCTCTGAGCAGAGCCCCTCGGGCAGCCTGCGGGTGGTCAGCCACAGGCAGGAGGGGAGGTCCCGAGTGAGGTGTGCGGTCGGCACCCGCGGTGACTTTCCATGCAGCACAGTGACGGGAGGACGACAGAGTCACAGGCTACTCCACTTTGAGCAGCTGCAGTTCACTGACCACTTGTGGGTCACCCAGAACCACACTGGCAACCAGAGTCCTCTACTCCACTCCCCCCACAGAGGGTCTGACCCCCATGTCCACAGGGCTCCCAGGACTTCAGGAGTGCTGGAGGCACCTTGGGTGCCAGGGCAAGCTGCCCAGGGAGGTGCCCAGGCCATGTGTGGGTCTGCTAGTGTCTGAACCTGGAGCGCTGCTGGCCCAGAGGCACCGGGGCTAGAGGGACCAGCCAGGACTCCCAGAGACAGTCCCAGGAACCTTGGCCCCGATGCCCAGTGGGGCATATCTGGCCAGATGCCCCACCTGCCCTTCACGGAGCACCTGACTGTGGCCTTTCAGGGTGAGGTGGGCAGGAGCTCTGGGGAACACCAGGAGGAATCCAGGCATTCCCTGGGTTCTGCCTAAATCTGGGGTCTAAGGAAGCGGCCTGGCCTGCCGGCCCTCCTCGGCAGCAGGGGACAGACATCCTGACCCTCACCACCTGGTCCTGCCTGGCCTGGCCTGCCGGCCCTCTCCCACCCTGAGGGGTTGGCTCCAAGAACTCAGATCTCTAGCCAGGGATGCCACTCCCAGAGTCCCATGCACAGGCTGGCCGCTCTCTCAAAAGAGATGGCCACTGCTGATGCAGGGCCTGCTTCCAGGGGCTGCCCACTCCCAGGAGGGCTCCTGCCAGCAGCAGCCTGGCTCAGGGAGGCCCCAGCTTGATGCGAGGAGCCCCTGACGGGAGTGAATGCAGGTGGGATGCCGGCCCACTGCCCACATGGCCGGGCCCAATCCTGCGGCCCAGGCTGGCGCCAGGGTGGTCTGCCAGGACACCGCAGGGGGCAGCAGGGCCACACCTTCCTCCTGTGCTCCCCCCTGAGGCGCTGCCCTGCCCTGGCATCAGACCTTCTGCCCCACCCCGGCAGGGGCCCACTCCCTGGCAGCCCCTCACGACGTGGGTGAGCAGAGAGGAAAGTGACTTCCCCCACCAGGGTCAGGGTTGTGCAGGGGACAGGTCACCCTGGAAGGGCTCAGGGGGTGGGGGGGGCTCCGCAGGGGCTCGTCCAGGCACAGGGCTGGGAAGACAGGGCCCGCCCTGCTGCGTGGGCGGCTTCCCCCCCTCAGGCCTCAGCCCACCACGGAGATGGCCCCGGCACTGCGGGTCAGCGGCCTGCCACACGTCCTGCACAGATGACGGGACATGGTCTGGGAGCTAGCTGCCCTTGGGAGTGCGGCCTGCACGGCCTCCTCCTGGAGTGACCGGGAGGTCTGGGCAGAGGCCAGCCCTCCTGGTGTGTGGCTTAGGAGGAGAGCTTCACGCCAGGTCTCCAGGAGACACTTCCACCAACAGCTTCCCTGATCCCCACGACAACAACGAGTCCCGCTCCTGTTTCCAGGGAAACCCAGCCCTCAGCGTCCTGCTGCCACGGCAACACCCATGGCTCGGTTGCTCTGTGGTCTCACCAAGGCCGGGCAGCGGGCTCCCGGCTCAGAGAGCTCAGCACCGCGGGGCGCTGCAGGGCTGTGGGGCCGGGTGCTGTGGGGCCGGCCCCCGCCTTTCTCTGAGGTCCTGCAGTCTGGACAGCCATGAGTTCCTCCTCCAGCGAGCCTGGCCGTGGGGACCCCGCTGAGCAGTCCCCACTGGGGCTGGACACGGTGATCCAGGTCAGTGAGAGCAGGTCCCCACTGGGTGGGACCCTGAACAGACGGGGGCAGCTGTGCCTCCCTGACTCCCGGGGACACTTTCCACAAGCTCATGGGCTCAGCTCGAACGTGAGCACACACGCAGAAATGCGCAGGGCGCGCTCTCTCCCTCTCCCTCTCCCTCTCTCTCTCTCTCTCTCTCTCTCACACACACACACACACACACACACACACACATGGACCAGGGACATGCTGGGTACACTCAGAGGAGGAGACGGCCCAGCGGCCAGCCCTCCCTGCTCCTGGCTGCAGGAGCTCGGTCAGCCCCTGAGCCTCGGGCCTGCAGTCTGCACGCTGCAGCGGGAGGACAGAGGCCCTGCTGACCTTCTGGGCAGTCTGCTTCACTGTGGCCAAGGGCAGGGGCCAGGCAGCTTTCCTTGGAGGGTGTTGCCGTCTTTCTCAGGGGGTCCCCAGTATCTAATCTGCAACCTCCAGGAGCTCTGTTTCTGTTGGTCTTCAAGGCAGGAATCACTCCCCATGTCCCTCTCCTCTCCACTCCTGCCCGCTTCTGCACCCCTCCCCCAGCCTCACACACCCAGCCTCCACGATGCTGCCTCCACCTGGTTCTGGTGACTAAGGCCAGCAGTCCCTGGCCCTTGGGGCTCCAGTGCCCCTGAGATGGACCAGCTGACTCAGAGTCCTCCGACCCTGAGAGCCACCCTGCAGGGGGTGACATGCCCTCAATAAGCAACATAAGTCCCCTGCAAAGATAATCGCACACAGGTGGTGCCAGGTGGCTAATGACATGGTGGCGTCATGGTGCCCACAAACACTCACACAGAGGAGCCCACACAGGGACAGAACACAGCCCTGCAGAATGTCTGAGTCAGGTGACACAGAGAACTAGAAGAGTGCCCTGGGTGGGACTTGCAACTGGAGGCCACGCTGTCCAGCTCCATGGGGCCCCAGGGGGGAGGCCACGCTGTCTAGCTCCATGGGGCCCCGGGGGGGAGGCCACGCTGTCTAGCTCCATGGGGCCCCGGGGCGGGGAGGCCACGCTGTCCAGCTCCATGGGAACCCAGGGGCGAGGCCATGCTGTCCAGCTCCATGGAGCCTCGGGGTAATGAGGATGAAGAGAGGTGGCCAGCCAGGACAGTCCTTCAGCTCCTGTGTGGGCTTCACTGCCCCTCTGGGAGCTGGGGAAACTGAGGCTGGAGGCTTGCCATGGCCAATGGCTTGAGGGAGAAATCCAGGTCGATGCCCGATGACCTGGGTCCTAGTCCTTGGCAATGGGGCAGGGGGTGCCTCTGTCTGCCCACTGTGCCTGGCAGCAGCCATCTGGAGCCAGACAGAGCCTGGTGGCGTCTGCTCTGCCCGCCGCCCCGCCGGCACCTGGCGCTCACACTGCGGAGATTGAGATCTGGAAGCAATTACCCAGGTGAGCAGGCAGCAGGTGGGCGCCACCAGATGCCCAGATAGGCCCAGGCAGACGGGTCGGCAGGGCCACAGGCCCTCAGTCCTGCAGCTGCCCGGGGAAGGGCTCCTCCCAGGGAAGAACTGGACTCCTGAGAGGCACCCCTTTTCACTTCTGCTCAGTCACTTATTGGTCCCTTTATACTACTTGTGCCTTCAATTTTATTACGTGGTTATTCTTCCTTTTAATTCCTTGTGTTTGGTGCTCATCTAAGTCTTGAGGTGTGTGCTTGGCGGTGGGCCTGCAGTCTTGTTTTCCTTTGTCATGCTGTCAGTGAAGACATTCGTATGGTGTGACACTGGCCGCTTAACCACTGTTCAGCGAGTCTGTGGCACTCAGGGTCCTCATGCGACTAAGTGACCCCACACGACCCACCCCAGCACGTTCCTCTCCCCTCCTGGCCCGTGGCCACCACCCCACCTCCAGGGCTGACTGCTCTTGGCTCGTGTGAGTGGGCGTCCATGCTCTCGTCTCTCTGACTGGCCTGTCCACTGAGCGGTGTCCTGTGCTGCACCCTCAGCCTTGGTCAGAATCTCCTTTTTGAGGTGAATCACACTCCACCGTGTAGGTGGGCCACACTCTGTGCACTGTCCTTCCGTCAGTGGGTCCTGGGCTGCACCCGCCTGCTGGTGACTTGAACAGAGACCCCGTCCACAGGGTATGCACAGCTATCAGCCTCTGGTTTTGTCTGGGGATTCACACCTGAAGGGACATTGCTGGGTCACATGGTGACTGGGTGCACTGGTGAGGGGCCACCACTCTGCTTGGTTGCAGCTCCAAGGGTCACCTGCTGTGCGTGTGTCCTCTGAGTGAGGCTCACTGTGGGAACTGGCTTTGCCCACACCACCCCTGACGCCAAATGTGTGGATTCTGACCTCCAGCTCTGCCTACCCCCGGGAGTCCTCCGAGTCAGCTCGTCACCCTACCCAGTGCTGGCACTGCCCCACAGGCAAGGACACAACCCCACACGACTGTCCCTCTTCAAATGCCACTCCCAAGACTAGCTGCCCTCTGACCTCCAACTGGCCACACTCCGCCCTGAGTCTAGTAGCTCGCCTGCTCAGCTCCCAGAACCCAGGATGCTTCACTCACTCCCGTATGAGTTAGTTAAGGGACAGTCTCAGGCCCTGGAGCAGAGGCCCAGGGCCAGGTGTCTGGGAGGGGAGCCAGCTTGCCCCTAGGGGCACTCTCAGGCCCAGAGGCCCTCCCACCTACTTGCTAGTGTTCTCAGGAGTTCCACGGATTAGCTCACTGGCCCCTGGTGACCGGCTCAGGCGCAGCTCCCCAGAGGCCTGGGTGCTTGGGCTGAATGCTCCACCACCCTAGTCCTGCCCTGGTCATTCTGCCAACCAGCCCCACTCTGGGGGTCTCTACCCCCCACACACACACTTATTAGCATACAGAAGACTATCACTCAGCTCAGGAGACCCCAAGGGCAATTGTCCTGAGGCAGGTGTCCTGGTCCACCAGGATGGGAGCTGTGAATGGTCAAGAGAGGCCCGGCCAGGGGCCAGCCTCCAAGCCCCTGCACTCACAGTGCCCCAGGGAAGGGCCTGCCGCCCATCTCTAGGTCTCCTGGACACAGTGGTGGTGGGCTCAGCAGGCCAGCCACAACCTTCCCCTCGGGACCTTGCCCTGTGCCCCACAGTCCTCCATGAACACCCACGGCCTTCGAAGTTGCTCCAGCTCTCTCCCCTGTCAGGCCACCGCTCTCTCTGCTCCCTCCTCCCCAGGAGTCCCCGGTGCTTCCACTGCCGTGGACTAGGCCCTCTGGCTGTGGGACTCTCACCGACCTGCCCCTCCTGAGCCCGTGTGTCAGGGGCCCAGGAGAAGCAAGCCGCAGCCTGGCCCTCCTGCACATTCCTGGCCAGGAGGCATTTTGCAGTTAGTGACTCATACCTTCGGCCTTCCAGCTGGGCTGTCAGTCATTTGGGCCTTGAATGAGTCTGGGCCTGTTGGCATGCCCAGCACTGAGCAGGCGCACTGCCCCCTCCACCTGCCACACCTGCTTCAAGCCCAGCCCCCAGGCTTTAGGAGGCCCCTGGGTTTGCTGTGAGAGGAGGGAGGACTCCCCAGGAAGCCCGCTCCTGCCTGAGCAGGGTTGGGAGAGGCAGAGCCCAGCCTCACCACCCAGGACACCTCTTTTCTAAGAAAGCAGAGTGCCTCCTGCCTGGGCACGCTGCAGAGGGCCACCCTGGGCCAGGACGGCAGCAGGTCTCCAGCAGGCTCCTGGTGGGTCAGAGCCACCGGGCCTCCCCGGGGCCATAGACACAACTGCCGTGCACAGGGCAGGAGAGCAGCAGTCCAGCTGTCTGTCCACGCACCACCATGGGCATGTGGGAGCCTAGGAATGGAGTCCCAGCCTTACCAGCACTTCTGAGCAGGTGACCTCAAGCAAGTCCTGACCTCACTGGCTTCCTTTCCCCACCCAGGAGGACGAGCCTTTGGCTCAGGTCGAGATCGGGGGTGTGAAAATGTCTGCCGGTGGGAAATATTAAAACCTGGACTCACCTCCCTGCCCCATGCATGGTCACCAGTGTCATTGTCCTCAGGCAGCTGCAGCCCCGAGCCCAGTCTGGACTCCCAGGGGCCCCAGGGGCAGCCCCCCCCGCAGTGCCCCAAGCAGCCACACAGGGGCGCTGTTGGAGCTTGGTGGCCCAGCAGCAGTTCCACCCCTTCGGGCGGAGGGGCCAGGGACAGCCCCCCGCGCTCCACCCTCTGCTCTGCCATCCCAGTCCTGCTCCTGCAGCTGGAGGGTGGGGCCAGAGTTGGTGACCTGGTTGTGTTGGGGCTGCCCACTGGACAGCCCTTTTCCCTCAGTGGTCTTTACAGGGTTCAGTGCCTGGCTCGCTGTTGCTGGCCGCCCAGGGGTGTCCACCACCCCAGGGGTGTCCCTCCTTCAGAGCCCAGGCCGGGGTTCTCAGCACAAGCTGTCCGCCTGCCCCTGCCCTGAGCAGGCGGTGGAGGGCTCACTGTATGCTTGACAGGTTCTGCTGTACCGGGGCCTCTACGGGGGCTTCCTCTTTCCTGTGTGCCCTGCACTCTGCCACATGAAGACCCTTGTGGGTCCTCAGAGGAGCAGCCCTGTGCTTCTGGGACTGACAGCTGCCCAGAGGGGCCGTCCCGTGGGTGGTAGGGCTTCGTGTGCACTGCCTTTGCAGAGCCCTAGGCTCCACTGGGGAGCAGCGGCCAGCCCAGCTCTCTCTGCCTCAAATCACCTGCACCTCCAATCGCTACCCACCCCCCCAGGGTCCAGGTTCTCTCCCCAGCACACCTGGGATGAAAGGTGCTGGGCCCACCTGCGGGACAGCCTGTGCACACCAACCCCGCTGAGCCCCACCCCTGGGGAGCGACTGGGCTCTGCCCCAGTGAGGTGCACTGGGGGCTGTGACCCTGACCCACCCAGACCTGCCTGAGGAGCCCACCCTGCCACTGGGCAGGAGCACACTGGATTGGCTTCCTCCTGCCCCACCCAGCTCTTGACTCAGGCAGCTGCCCCAGCAGGAAGGGACAGGGACGTGGCAGGGTGTGGAGAGCTGAGGGGGCCGGTGCCCCTCGGGGTCTGGGCTTGTAGAGACCCTGCCCTTTCCCTACCAGTGGATTTTCTGGGCTTTGCGTCTGAATTCCCTGCTGGGGCTCTGGCCCCCTCCCCTGACAGCCTGGAAGGACCATCTGGAAAAGTCAGGCCTGGGGTGCAGGGGTGGGGTGGGGTGGGGAGAGCGTGTGCCCCCCAGACCAGGCCAAGTGCACCCCCCTGCAGGGGAAGAACGTCTGCAGGGCGAGTCCTTGTGCATGGAACGTGGCCAGCAGGGGGGTCAGCCTCCTCCCTTGGCCCCTCCGGGGGGCTCCAGGCCCATTCTGGCCAGTCTCTCCATTGACAGCATGGAGCAGCACAGGCCACCTCTGCACCCCCCTTTCAGGGATCTCCAGCCAAGACCCAGGACAGGGGAGGGGATTGGGGGAAGAGGCCTCCGCCCGCCCCGGAGCCCAAGCCCACCCCCAGCCCCAGGCCAGTGCAGCAGTGCAGAGGGGGCCTGGGGCCGCAGGAGGATTGGGGTGGGAACATCTCTTGCCTGAGATTGGAGCAGCTCCCCTTCCTCTGGGGTGGGCAGCCTATGCCTTCCTGCTGGGTCCACTGTCCACAGCAGCCCATTCTCCACAGAGCTGCAGCCCGGGGGCTTTGGGGCCCAAGAGGACCTGGATTCCCGCCCCCCAAATTTAACAGTTCCCTTAGAAGGGCCTGCAGCCCTGAGCCCCGCAGGAGGAGAAGATAAGAGGGTCCCCTCCACACAGCCTGAGGGAGAGGGGAGACAGCCATGGCCTGCTGGCTGTCCCCACTGGGTCTCACACAGACCCCTCAGGGCCAGGATTCTGTTGTAGGGCCGTTGGTGGGTCTGTGGCCTCTCTGGGGTCCTCAGTGCCGGTTAAGCCCCCGAGGGCGCTAGATGCAAGATGAACATGACCCGGTTCAACTGTGATCAGGGGAAATCAGGACTCCTGGGAAAGGGAAGCCCTGTCCTGGAGTGCTCTCTGACTCCCGAATCGCCCCTCGGGCCAGGAGGGGCTGGGGGGTTGGGGCCGCGATCCACCGGGGGCTGCAGGTCGCAGGTGAGTCGCGGAGGAGCCTAGGGGTGGGGTGCAGACCAAAGCTGGTGGGCGCAGCCCCGCGACCTGCCAGAGCGCCCACCAGCTTCGGACTGCCGTCTGCGTGGGGGGCAGCTGGGGACCCTCAGGGCCTCCCCGCCTATGCCCTCCCGCCGTATCTGGGCCGCGGCCTGGCAGGCACCCGGCCACAGCTGGAACCCATTACGCCCCCAGCGCCTCCCGGGATGGCTCTGCTAATAAGCGACCCTCTGTAAACGCTAGGAATGAGTCAAGTCTGAGCTGTGCTGCGCTTTCCCGTTAGCGGGTGGCGCCGCCGATGCCCAGGGGACCCAGGGCGGGCGGGCGCGCGAGGGAGGTGGAGCCAGCTGGACGATGAGCCTGGGTCTGTGGTGCTGTGCGCGGGGCCTGTTTCCCCTGCACAAAGTCGGAGGCCAGGGTCCAATGGCTGAGCCCCGTCCACCCCGTTTTCCTCTTAGGAGGACAAGAGAGGGCTTGGAGCCTAGACACCGGGGGCCTTGCTCGGCCCAGGAGAGGTGGCAGGCTCCACTGGCCCTTGGCCCATCCTGGAGCCTGGCTGGGGCTTCCTCTGGGAGAATGTGCAGGGGCCATGCCCAAGACCTCCCAGGGACTGAGACCCTAATCCCTGGGGAAAAGGAAGGATGGGGTACAGCTGAAGGGCCGGTCAACCAGACCCTGGGCTCACAGCCACTTGGCATTTGCCAGGTAACTGCCCTTCACAGGGCTGCTGGGGATCAGGATGGGGCCTACCCAGGAGCCATGCAGAGCCTGGGTTTGGGGTGACTGCTAGCAGTCTGTGGTCAGTCCAGGAGAGAGGCCAGTGTGTTCAGGGGTCCAGAGGGAGGGGCAGTATCTGAGGCAGAAGCATCCCACTCTTGCTTCCAGAGTTGGGCACAGTGGGAGGACCCCTCTGGCCCTGCTGGGCTTCGATCCCCCTCTGTCTGACCCAAGAAACTGGGTTTCTCTGCTGTGGCCCAGAAACAAAGGCCCCGGCCTCCTAGCACCCCAGAGAGGACAGCTGTGACCCTTCAGCGGTGTCAGATGAGCTGGCTCAGAGGTGGCACAGGCCTGTGGGTGAGCTGTGCTGCCCTCGGCCAGTACTGGGTCCCTTCTCTCCATTCTGTGTTGCAGCTGGTGACTTGGGTGAGCTGCTCAGCCTCTCCCACCCCCCTGGGCACTTTGATCTCTTAGGTGATCGTTGAGGACTCCTACGGGGTGCCTGGCAGGTGCCCATATTTAGCACCACAGGTGTCTCTGGGGTGTCTTTCAGAGGTTGGAGGACACCATCCTCAGCCCCAGGGCCAGCAGGGAAGATCGGGTACTCACTGTGCGAGGGGAGGGCCGGCAGGCTTCGCCCACCCCCTTGCCTGCCCGCATCCGTGAGATCGTGGCCAGCAGCCTGCGTGAGGAGCCACCCCAAGGTGAGGGAGTGGGCCCTGATCTGGGCTCAGGGCTACCCCACCCAGAGCTGCCCGGCGGCCTGCAGCCCTCTTCAGGGGAGCACCACCGGAGGGTGGGGACAAGGCAGGTGCTTGTGACACACCTGTGACCATCAGCCTCGAGATCACTCCGTCTCCGTCTTTCCCTGGCCCAGCAGCCCCTCCCTGCTGCTTCCTGTCACGCTGCAGCGGAGCACTGCGCCTGAGGCTCAGTCCCTGCACAAGGCCACTTGAAACTCCCTCGGGACATGGGTCCCAGCAGCCCCTTTGAATGCTGAAGCTCTGCCTGGCTTTCTGAGGGACCCCAGCACCCACCATGCATGCGGCAGGGACAGAGGACACCACTCATATTTAGAAGAGCAACTTCAGACTCTGGGTCGAGGTCCTGCCACCCTGTGGCCAGCAGCCCGTCTCTGGGCACCCAGCATCTGGGCTGCTCCACACCCCTGCTGGCCTCAGCCTGACCGTGGGTCTGGGTGCTCTAGAGATGTGGACAAGAGGCAGGGAGGCGAGGAGGCAGGTGTCTGTCAAAAGGAAAGGAAGTGGACCGGGACCAACCCCCTCCCAGAAGGCCCAGGCAGGCCCCACAGTGGGAGACAAGGGAGGGTGCGGGCCTGGCCACCCAGCTGACCAGGTGCTGTGCCCACAGGGGTGCTGGAGCCACCTGCCCCTCTGGTCCACCTGCATGAGGAAACGGAGCTGCTGCAGGAGGAGCTGGCCCGGCTGGAGGACCTGCTGGCCCAGTCAAGCGCCGAGCAGGCCGAGCTGGCCGGCAGGTACCAGGCTGTCAGCCACCGGGTGAGTGCCACTGGTGCTTGGCCGCCGGCCATGCAGGTGGCGCTGTGGTTCCCTACCTGGGGAGCCATCAGTGAGTCTCAGGACCACAGCACATCCGGGCCCTGGGCAGTGGACGGGGACACCGAGGCTGGAAAAGTGAGACGGTGCTGGGCCAGGCGGTGTCTTGCTAGGCAGCACCCACGGCAGCCGCTTCCGAAGCAGAGCCGAGCGTGGGGTGGTGCAGGGCCTTCCTGAGCTCTGTGTGGCAGGACAGAGGGGGTGGCCGCTCACCAGGGCCATGAGGGCCTAGGCACCCGGAGGACTCCCCAGGGTAGATGGCAGCACCTGTTCCCATGTGGCCCCCACCGTGGGAGCTCCTCTGGGCAGGGTGCCGAGGGCCGTCCTGGTCGTGCCTGGGAGCGCACACGCCCACCCAGCCTGCCCTTCCCTCCAGCCCCCTGCACCCTTGGCAGGCCTGGGTGGGTGGGGAGGGGAATCTTCTTCCTAGCTCTGGGCGGGAGATGTGGGAACAGGCCCAGGGAATTGAAGCCACAGAAGTCCTGCCACAGATCAGTAAACCGTGAGTCAGAGCGCGGCGTGGATCACTAGGGGTAGATACCTCCAGGCTGGGCCCCCAGGGACCCTGCCTTCCTCCTGCCCTCATCCCAGGCCTTCCCCCAGCCACGGCTGGGCCCTGGGTCCAGGTCACCAGTAGTGATGGTGTGGCCCTGGGCGTGATTCCTGACAGCCATGGGTGACGGCCTGAATGTCCCTCAGATCACCCAGAGTGCTGCTCTGGGCTGGCCGCCTGGGGACCTGGGGCCTGGTCAGGTGTGTGTGTTCCTGGCCTCTCCGGACAGGGCCTGGGGTGGAAGACAGTGCTGGGACGTGCCCTAGGCTGGAGGAGTCCTGGCTTGTGCCCTCTGGGTAGGGGGGCAGGGTTCGTGGCCCAGAGCTGCCCTCAAACCCTCCACTGTGCCCCTGAGCCCTGAGTCCCTGGTGTACCCATCTGAAGTGAGCTGGAGTGAGAGTGGTCAGGGCCCCTCTGGGCCTACCAGGCCAGGGCTATTTCTAGGGCAGTGAGGGGTCAGCTCAGCCAGGGTCTCCTTTCCTCCCTCCTCTGCTGGCCACAGGTGCTAGGCACAGGGATGGGGTGTGGACAGCCGCCATCGGGCCCAGACCCCACCCCAACCCCATCACGGACACCAGCTCCTGCTGGGAGGCCCTCTTTCTTGCCCCTGCCCAGAGTGGGCTTTCCGAGATGCCCTGCCCCTGCCCAGCAGGGTGAGAACCACCGGCCAGGTCTGCCACTCCTGTCCAGATGCAGGCCCGCCTGGAGGCCACCCAGGCTCGGCTGCGGAGGTCAGAGCTGGAGCACAGTGTGGACCTGGAGGAGGCTCTTGGCCGTCTGGAGGCCGCAGAACAGAGGTGAGACCACAGCAGGCTGCCAGAGCTGGACCCTGCCCCCCGACAGCGGACCTGCCTCCCCGTGGCTCCTGCAGGCAGCTGTGTGTCAGCCCGGCCTGTGAGAGGTGGTGGAGGCTGGGGTAGGGGAGGCAGGGCAGGGCTGGTCCCTCGCCCTCTCCCCACATCCTGCGGCCAGGGCCAAGCAGAAAGCAGGACAGGGTCAGCCCACCCTGCTGTGCACCTCTCAGGGGCTCTGGTGGTGCAGGCCCCCTCTGCCCAGCCCCTGAGGGTGGCCACACATTGGCCCGGCCAACCTGGGGACGCCCCTCTCTGGCTCTCCCTAGGGTTCACCTCTGATCACAGAGCTCGCGTTCAGCTCTTGTTCACCCTAACCCGAACCTGGTACCCCAGAGCAAAGGCAGAGCCCCAGCTTTAACCAGGACCCCAGCACGAACCCCGCCCCAGCACGAACCCCGCCCCAGCACTAACCCCGCCCCAGCACTAACCCCGCCCCAGCACTAACCCAGCACTAACCCCGCCCCAGCACTAACCCCGCCCCAGCACTAACCCAGCACTAACCCCGCCCCAGCACTAACCCCGCCCCAGCACGAACCCCGCCCCAGCACTAACCCAGCACTAACCCAGCACCCCACCAGGAACCTCAGCCCCCCATTCATGGCCCCACCCAGGCTGTAACAGCACTCCGGCTGGAGCTGCAGCACCCCAGGTCCCCAGCCCTGTGACAGGGTCTTGGGACAGAGTGGCTCTCAGCAGGGCCCCAACAGCCCAGACCTGGGAGGCTTAACATTTCCAGAACACTTCTTGAAGGTGTAGGTGGCTCTCCCCCTGGGAATTCGGAGAAGTGCTTAGAAGCACTTTGAAAACCAGCCTCGGGGAGGAGGCCAGGGCCCGAGGCTCGTGGTCTTGCAGCAGGTCTGGGGGGTCTGGCTCTCAGAGGCGCCAGCCTCCCCAGCAGCTGGGGGTCCCTGACTGCTGCGCGTGCAGCCCTGCTGCAGGACGGGCCCCAGGGCTGTGCCCCCTGACTCCCTCTCTGGCCTGCCTGCCCAGGGGCTCCTTCCCCATTCTCCACAAGTGACCCCTGCAGAGCCCAGGGGCCTCCCAGACTGAGAGCCAGAGGCACGGGCCAGAGCTGGGGACAGGACAAGGCCTGGGCTAGGAGAGCCCCTTCACGCTGGCCTCTGAGAGGGCCATGGCGGGTGGTCAGCGTGGCATGAGGTAAAGCCGGGCTCAGGGGCTTCGGGGCCCCCTGGAGCCTTGGCCGGGGACTTGGGCTGAGCCCTCTCTGAGGAGGCCCCAGCCACAGCCCTGGGCCCCGTCTTGCAGGAGCTGCAGCCTCTCTCAGGTGAACGCACTCCTGCGGGGACAGCTGGAGCACATGAAGGAGGCCAACAGCCAGCTGGCCCGGGAGCTGGCCAACACCACCGGCGGCATGTTCCGCCTGCAGCGTGAGCTGGAGCGCAGGGAGGTGCGGCTGGGCACCAGAGGGGTCCTACCTGGGTGGACACACCAGAGGTGTCCACCACTGTGGATGCTGCCGGTGGGCGGGTCACGGACCAGGGAGGGTACAGCGACTTCACATGGTCCCTCCTGGGCCAAGGGCTCATCCTGGGCTTGGTCACAGCAGTCAGTGGAGTGGGGACACCCCAGCCCCTCTCCTTTTGAGGGAAGACCCAGCCCCTGAGGACCGAGGAGCTGTGCAAGTCTGGCTGCAGGGCAGAGCCCCTGGAAGGGGCCTGGCTGGGCCCCGCGGCTCCCTGCAACTGCCCGTCCACAGCATTTAGCTGCGGGATGACCCCTCACTGGCCTGGACCCAGGTGTGCAGCCTTGGCCAGTGGGCTCTCTGCAGCTGAGAAGGCCCTGAGGGGCTGAAGGTGCCCACGGCCCTCCAGTGAGAGGGTCTGAATGCAGAGCCCATGGCCCCTGCACACCGTCAGCAAGGTCTCTCCCTGAAGCCACCTGAAGAAATGCTCTCTCCAGGTGGAGACGGAAGCAGGGGGTGGCTGCCCGGTGTCTGGGCCTCAGGCAGAAAGACCAGCTGTGGGCGTAAAGCCAGCAGGGAGGGCTGGACTCGGCCACGCAGGCCCCCAGAGCTGTTGCTCCTGTCCACAGCAGCCATGGACCCTCTGCCACCACCCCCACCTGGAAGGAGGGTGTCAGATGAGCGCCTGAGGTGGGAGGGTGCCCTGTCTCGTAGGGTGTCCCCAGGAGCTGCGTCTGCCACCACAGGGATCTCTAACAGCAGGACTAACACAGCACTGCTGAGACCTATCACCCGTCACCCGGTCCTGGGGTGCAGCGGGTGGTCCCACGGCACCCACAGACAGTTTCCTCCTGTGAGCGGGATGCCTTGGAGGGGGTCCCGAGGTCACTCTGGCCTTTGCTCCTGGGGAGGGGTCTTGGAGAGTTCTTCCTGCCCTGGGAAGGTGCCTCCTCCGCCTCTGCCCTGCCGGAGGGGGTGGACCCTCCCCCTGGAGCTCCTGGGGGCTCGGCCTGGCCTGGCCGTGTGCAGCTGCCCCGAGGGTCTCTGTGGACTCCTGGGCCTTCGCTGTGTCGGGAGGGGAGTCACCACCCAGGCCCAGCCCTCTGCCCTCACCCCAGTGGAAGGCACCCTCCTGGTGGCCAGAATGGCCGGTGGCGCCTCCTGAGCCTGCGCTGTCAGGCTGCTCCTGGCACATCCGCCTGCATGAATCCCAGCACCGCAGGCTTCTCCTTAATTCCTTCCCATGCATCCCGGTGGCCAACTCGTCCACCTCCTGGCTCGTTGGTGCGTGTGAGAAACAGTTATCTTGTGGTCCAGTGTCCACCATTTTCAAGACCTGAGTGACCACTTCTCCTGGGTCCACGTCTCTTTCTGTTTGGGGTGTTTTTTATCATTTATATATATGTACACACTTAGTTGTAGATGGGCCTGATATCTTTATTTATTTATTTTTATGTGGTGCTGAGGGTGGAACCCAGTGCCTCGTGCATGTGAGGCAAGTGCTCTGCCACTGAGCCACCGACAGCCACAGCCGATTTTTTATGTTTTAACTCATTTTTTAGCTGCTTATTTCCTGTGGAACTTTGTGGAACCTCTTGGGGAACTGGGGGAAGGCAATATTTTCCAGGAAGAATTCCATCTCCTTCTGATGGTGCTGGGGCCCGGCAGCTCAGGGCCACACCTGGGAAATGCTCGCTCTGGGCCTGCAGGAGCCCGGGGTGTCACCTGCACCTCCACACCTGTCTGCTTACCTCCAGTGTGCTGGACAGCAGCTTCTCCTGTGGGCACACGTGTGTGCACCTGTGGGCATGGTATGTGAGTGTGTGAGCGTGTGTGTGTGAGGGAGTGCATGTGAGTGCCTGTGTGCACATAGTGTGTGTGGGTGTGTGAGCGTGTGTGAGTGTAGGAGCATGTGTGTATGTGTGGTGTGTGTGGGTGTGTGTGAATGCATGTGTGAATGCGTGTGTGGATGTGTGTGTGTGAGTGTGTGTGTGGTGTACGTGGGTGGGTGTGAGTGGGTGTGTGAATGTCTGTGTGGATGTGTGTGTGAGTGTGCGTGTGTGGTGTACGTGTGTGTGGTGTACGTGGGTGTGTGTGGATGTGTGGGTGTGTGAATGCATGTGTGTGGTGTACGTGGGTGTGTGTGAATGCGTGTGTGGATGTGTGTGTGTGGTGTACGTGGGTGTGTGTGTGTGTGTGGTGTACGTGGGTGGGTGTGAATGCGTGTGTGGATGTGTGTGTTTGTGTGGTGTACGTGGGTGTGTGTGAGTGGGTGTGTGAATGTGTGTGTGGATGTGGGTGTGTGAATGCATGTGTGTGGTGTATGTGGGTGTGTGTGAATGCATGTGTGAATGTGTGTGTGGATGTGTGTGGATGTGGTGTACGTGGGTGTGTGTGAGTGGGTGTGTGTGGTGAACGTGGGTGTGTGTGCGAATGTGTGTGTGGTGTACGTGGGTGTGTGTGAGTGTGTGTGTGGTGTACGTGGGTGGGTGTGAGTGGGTGTGTGAATGCGTGTGTGGATGTGTGTGAGTGGGTGTGTGAATGTGTGTGTGGATGTGTGTGTGAGTGTGTGTGTGTGGTGTACGTGGGTGGGTGTGTGAATGCGTGTGTGGATGTGTGTGTGAGTGGGTGTGTGTGAGTGTGTATGTGGGTGTGTGTCAGTGTGTGTGTGGTGTACATGGGTGGGTGTGAGTGGGTGTGTAAATGCATGTGTGGATGTGTGTGTGGTGTACGTGGGTGTGTGTGAGTGGGTGTGTGTGGTGAACGTGGGTGTGTGTGCGAGTGTGTGTGTGGTGTACATGGGTGTGTGTGAGTGTGTATGTGGTGTACGTGGGTGGGTGTGAGTGGGTGTGTGAATGCGTGTGTGGATGTGTGTGTGAGTGGGTGTGTGTGAGTGTGTATGTGGGTGTGTGTCAGTGTGTGTGTGTGTGTGGTGTACGTGGGTGGGTGTGAGTGGGTGTGTGAATGCGTGTGTGGATGTGTGTGTGAGTGGGTGTGTGTGAGTGTGTATGTGGGTGTGTGTCAGTGTGTGTGGTGTACGTGGGTGGGTGTGAGTGGGTGGGTGTGAATGCGTGTGTGGATGTGTGTGCGAGTGTGTGTGTGGTGTACGTGGGTGTGTGTGAGTGGGTGTGTGTGGTGTACGTGGGTGGGTGTGAGTGTGCGTGTGGCCTGGGAGCGTGGCGTGCGTGCGTGGCTTGAGGCTGCAGCTCACCCTCTAGCCCTCCCACCCTGCTGCACTGGGGACACTAGGCAGGATGTGCCTGGGTCTGGCTCAGCCTCGGGCCCTTGGGTCAAGGAACAAGTTTCTCTGTTTGGCAAGAAATTGCCTCATTGGCTCCAGACTCCACTAGGTCCGCCTGAGGCTTCACCCTGGTTCTCCAAGAGGGACCACAAAGTTCCACGGGAAATGAGCAGCTAGAAAATTAGTTAGAAAATAGAAAATCACCCCAAACAGAAGGAGACAGAGCATCGTGATGTGGACCCAGGAGAAGCGGTCAACTCAGGTCTGCCTGATCTCACGCCTCTGCTGCTACAGAACCTTCAATAGCTCCCACTGTGGCCGGCCAGCCTGCCCAGGGAGAGGGGCTGGGTCTGCAGACTTGGGCTCCATAGAAGACGTCTCTTCCCGCCCTGGATGGTCACTCCAGAGGCGGGATGTGCCTGGCCCCGATGAGCTCCCCCCCTGTGGCCCGGCACACTGACTGAGGGTGTGTGAAGGTGGTCCTGGGCTCACCAGGGGAGGGGCTCAGAGGCAGGGTCCAGCCAGGGGTGGCGTGGCCTCCTGAGAGCTGGCTGAGGAGTGCTGGGTGGGGCCGCACCAGCAGGACAGGCCATGAGACCAGGAAAGCCCTGGGCCTGAGGACCCTGTGGGTTCCAGCGGCCATCTTGCCAGAGGCAGCAGTGTGCAGGATGCAGAGGTGGTGTGGGACTGCACTCCGCGAGGCTGGACCTCTGGGCGCACACAGCCCTGCAGTGGCCTGCTTCCCATGTCCTCCCCAACTCGTCCTGCCCAGCCCCAGCCCCAGCTGCCCACCCTGTCCCCTGCACTCTGGGGCGCTGGTCTACCCCTGACATCCACAGAGCCCCTCGGGTAAGAGCAGCGACCTGGGATGACGGGAGAGGGACAGCCTCCTCCCTCAGGGCTGCGCAGGTCTGAGTGCAGCATGTGGGACCTGCTCCCCCGCCCCCGGACCCCTTCCTGGGATGCCCTGGGGGGACATGGGAGTCTTCCTCTTCCGCGTTGTCCCCAGGGTGGGTGGGGAGCTCAGAACTTATTTGCCTGCAGCGCACGGGGACCTTGGGACCCGGTAGGTGATACAAGTCCCACTTGCAGCCTCCCCAGAACCAGCTTAGCAGGACACCTAGAGAATAGTGAGCAGGGGCCGATGGCCCCCATCTGCAGTGGACATGGGCCTCTTGCTTGCAGACCCAGCGGATGGGCCCTGGGCAGCCAGGGGATCTCCTCCTCCTGTGGAGACAGGCCTCAGAGCTCAAGGGACACGTGGCCCAGGTGCGGGTGGCCACGGAGAGGTAAGTGCATCTGTGCCCAGGCCACTCCTGAGCAGGGAGACAGCGGCACCAGCCCTGTCAGGACCCTGGCTGGACAGGCAGAGGGGGAAGTGGGGGAGGATGAATCAGGGGGATGGGGAGGAGCAGGTGGCCTGGCTGCAGGAGGACTCCCACTGCAGAGCTCTGGGTCTGGCCGGTTCTTGCTGGTGCCTCACGAGAGCCTGTCCCAGGCCACCCTGATGGCCCTTGAGGTACTTCTCCTGGCCTCAGCCCTGCCGGCCCTGCCCTGGCTATGAGCTTGCTGTCCTGCCGTTGTGGGGCTTCCCCAGGACGGCCAGTGGCCATGTGACCTGGGTGCACACCTCCTGGCCCAGCGCCTGCCCCCTCCCGAGGCTCCTCTACGGCATCGCCTTTTCTCCAGGGCTCTCGCGGACATGCAGGCCAAGGCCGCCTGGACAGCCCGGCGTCTGCACGCAGCCTGCCGCAGCCTCGACTCCAACCTGCGACTGGCAGCCAGCAGCCCGACCACCACCCTGGAGCAGCAGCTGCGGGACCAGGTCAGGGAGACGCTGCAGCTGCAGGGCCGCTGGGATGCGGAGAAGGCGGAGCTGCAGGCCAGGTGAGCCAGGAAGGACACCCACATCTCCTCCGCTTGCCAGGGTGTGGCCTTGAAGGCTGGCTCAGGGTCTGTGCTTCACTCCTGAGGCCATGGGAGCCTTGAAGGCTCTGTAGCAGGAGAGGCCTGAGATCAGCAGAGGGTGGCCCTGGCCCCGCAGGGAGGCTCCACTGCAGCAGGAATCTGGACAAAACCAGGACATCCCCAGGCCCCTCACGTACCCCCAGCTCCTCCCCAGACTCTCGGAGCAGACGCTGCTGGTGGACAAGCTCACACAGCAGAATGGGTCACGGGAAAGGACCGTGGACTCCGGCAGGACCGATGGCCAGAGACCGGTTCGTGGGCTGGAAATGGGAGCTGGGCTGGAGGCCAGCTGTCTGCCTGGCTAAGGGTCTCTCCCTGCAGGAGTCCCAGCGCGACAGGGACGGGGGCCGGCTGGCCACGGACACCCTGAGGGACGAGGTGGGATCCCTGCAGCGGGTGCTGGCCAGCATCACAGAGGTGCGCCCATGCTGAGCCCTGGTGGTACAGCCAGGACGACCCGTAGGGCCCCTGCTCCAAGGGACTGCGGGGAGGTCCCACTTCCTCACAGCCTGCATCTCCCCGCCCCTTCCCCTCTGCACCCTCAAGGTGGCTCTGGGGGACTCCGGGAGCCTGGAGCTGGCATGGGGCAGCAGCACTGATGGCCAGGAGGCGCGGAGCCAGCTGAGGAGCCCCCCACGTGCCACGTCCCCCCGCCAGGCTGTGTCCTCCCCACGGGCCCACTCCCCAGCCCACCTGGACCCAGCACTGCGGGCCGTGCAGACAGCCATTGAGAGACGGAGGCATCGGGAGCAGGTGGGCGGCTGTGGTCCCTGGGGCAGTGGGGGCAAAGCTGCGCCGTGTCTCCCTCAGCGTGGGGAGGTCAGCTCAGGCCCACCCCTCCACTGCCCTAGTGGGCCCGGGCCCCACAGAGCCAGGGAGGGCTCTGGTTCTAGGTTCCTTCTGGGGGAGTCGCAGCCCGGGGCCTCTCGGCTCACAGGGTGCCTGCCCGGCAGGAGCTGCGTCTGCAGCTACAGTCCTCCCGGGAGGCCACGGCCGGACTCCAGGAGCAGCTGTCCACGTGCCAGCAGGAGCTTCGGGCCTCGCAGAGGCTCCTGCAGAGCAGGACTCAGGAACATGAGGCCCTCCTGGGCAGGCTGGAGGCCCAGAGGCGTGAGGCCAGGCACTGCCAGAGGACTGCAGAGCTCTTGGGAAGGTGGCAGGAAGCGGCCTGGCCGGGGCAGCAGGGCTGGCTCTGAGAGCCCACACTGCGCGCAGGAGACCAGTCACCCCTGCCCTGTGTCCCCGTCCTACTGTACACAGGGGATCCCTTCCCTCACTGGGCCTCCTCCCGGTGCCGACTGCCCTCTGTCCACAGGCTGAGCCCTCCAGGCACCACAGCCCCAGCCCAGCAGGCCCAGCGCGGCTCTGTCTCCCGCCTGCCTGCCGCAGGACTCCCTCTGGGAGGCCCTTCCCCATGCCCCCAGGACCTCAGGCCCTTGGTAGCCATCCACGGAACCCCAGCTCCAGCCTCCCCTCACGCACACCCGGCTTCCACACGCCTCCGCCTGGGCTGTGATGGTGAGGGCCTGCGGTGAGCCGGCTGCAGGTCAGGAAGGCTTCCTGCAGGAGGTGACCACCCAGGAGCAGACAGATGCATTCCCATGCCCTCTCGTCCCTGCGGAGGGGGCTGGACCTGCACCCTTCACAGCAGCTCCGCTGGGTGGCCTGAGGGAGGGCTGGACACTGCAGCAGTCCCAGTGCCACTTTGCAAGGCACAGGGGGAGGTGACAGAGGGCAAGCAGAGGGCACAGCCCACCAGGGTGTGGGGATCCAGGTGAAGCAGGGGCATGAGGCCAGGGGCAGAGGGTCCTTCCCAGCAGGGAGCTGGCTGGGTGCAGGGTGAGAGAGCTGTGGCTCAGGAGAGCGAGCCAGCCAGCGGGGCGTGGCCCAGAGGCAGGGTCACCCACAGTGCTCAGGAACAGAGGGCAGGGGCATCTGCTGGGGTCAGGTGGACAGGCCTGACTGCCCCTTGGCAGGGAGGAGGGCTCGGTTCCAAGGGTCATTTGAGGATGCTGAGGGCCAGAGTGGAGGAGGAGCAGCTGATGGGGAGGACAGGGCAGACGGACTCGACGCTGGGTGCAGCAGGGCACAGGGGGTGAGACCTTGGTCCTGGGGAAGAGCCGCAGTCGGGGTGTGCTAGCCAGGGAGGTGTCCCTGCCAGCAGGGGTCTGAGCATGTGCACAACACAGACTCAGGCCCCTGTGCCTTGGGCTCCTTTCTGCCCTAAGCCTGACCCTGACCCTGACCCTAGCCCTGACCCTGCCTGTGCCTCCAGGAGCCCCTTCCACCTGCTGCAACCTCCATGGACCCAGGTCCACCATGTCCCGCTGACCACCCTCCTGGGCACACACTGAATGTGTCCAGGTGGGTCCTGGGGCCACCCTAACCTCTTCCTGTGTACCCAGGGAAAAGGTGGCCTTGGAGGCGGTGGTGGAGGAGCTGAGGGCGAGGGCGGATCTGGGAGAGGCCGAGCTGCAGAGGAGCCTCCTGCGGAGGGCGGAGCAGGACAGGCAGAGTCAGCGGGAGCTGGAGGCCAGGTGGGCAGAGAACCGGCTCTGTGCCCAGCTGTGTAGCCTGGGCCATCTCGTCCCTCTCTGGCCTCAGAGTCCATCCACTGGGGGCCTGTTGCCTTACCAGGGCTCTTCCCTGCCCAGCCCAGCCCAGACCCCGGCCTCAGCCCGTAGTCGGCCCCTGTGGGCCAGCAGAAGTGGGTGTCCTCCCCGTGTGTGCCCACCTCCCCCGGCATGTGCCTGAGGCCACCCTGGGGAGACCCCAAAACCCCATGCTCCTCACAGGACTCTGTGCTTGGAGGGGCTGCTAGCGGTAGCCCTGCCTGTGGTCTCCTGGGCATCCCCACTGACCCTGAGGCCACCTCACGCCTTGCCCCCCTGACCTCAGACAGAGGCGCCTGCAGCAGCTGGAGGAGAAGGTCTCTGGGCTCAGGAGGGAGCTGGCCGAGGCCCGGGAGGCCCTGAGTGCCGCGCAGCTGCAGCGGGACCTCGTGGAGAGCGAAAGGGAGGGCCTGCGCGGTGCCCTGGCCCGGGTACGCGCCCTGCCCCTCAGTGCCAGGTTCTCCCAGGCCTCACCCCTACCCTCTCCGTGCCCACCTGGTCCCCCGCCCACGCTGGCCCCGAGTCACCAGCCCCAGCCGCCCCACCACCGGGGACGCCTGCTTCCCAGGCTTCTCCCTGAGCCTGGTCACCCCTCCGGCTGGAGCCTAGGTGGGGGCCACTCTCTGCCAGAGACCCCCACGAGGGGCCTCCTCCACATCCCACCCAGCCCCAGCCCCACAGCTCCGCAGGTGGGACTCATTCTCTCCCAGCACCGGGGTTCTGCCGGGGATCTTCCAGCTCCTCCCTGAAATCCCTCTGGATGGCCACTGCCCCCAGGCCGAGTCCAGCCACGCTGACCTGGAACTGCTTGTGACGCGGCTGAAGTCGGAGGGGGTGGAGCAGCGGGACTCCCTGGCCGCGATGGCGGCCCTGATGGAGGGGCTGGCCCGGGACAAGGGCTCCCTGAGCCACGTGGTGCTCCAGGTGAGCGAGGGCCCAGCTCCAGGGCCTCGGCTCATTCACCCCCAGATCCTCTTCCTTCCGGACCGGGGCCCCTCCCTGAGAGCGGATGTCGGGGATGGACAGGGGCCTGAGCGAGGAAGGGCAGTGCCCAGGGCAGGCCTGGGCAGAGTCCCCGCCTCGTGGGGCCAGGGTGTGTGGGGTGGGGCCGCTGCAGACGCCTCCTTCTTGCCCTCAGCTGGAGCAGGAGCGGGACCAGCTGCAGGAGCAACGGAAGGCCCTGGAGCAGCAGCAGGAGGCTGCCCAGGAGCAGCTGGGGCAGCTGGGGCAGCAGCTGGCCTGCACCCGGGCAGAGCGCAGCGGCCTGCAGGAGGCCTGCGGGCGCCTGGAGCAGCGGCAGGAGCAGCTGGAGGGGCAGGTGACCCTGCTCGGGCGTGAGAGGGCCCAGCTCCAGGAGCAGGTGGGCCAGGTGAGGCCGGGCTGTGGACAGGTGGCGGGGCCTCGTGGACCCCGTGGCGCCAGGGAGTCAGCACCAGACTTTCCTCTTTCCTTTTTGGTACAGAGTTTGCACCCAGGGTCCTAACCCCTGAGCCACATCCCAGCCCTTTCTGTTCTTTATTTTAGAACAAGTCTCACTGATTTGCTTAGGGCCTCGCTAAACTGCTGAGGCTGACTTTGAACTAGGAGTCCCCTGCCTTGGCCTCAGGTGTCACAGGTGTGCACTAGTGTGCCTGGTCCCTGACATTTTGGTGTCATCCCCCCAGCCCCAGGTCCACTATGACAGAGACCTGTGACACTTGTCTTTCTGAGTCTGGCTTCTTTCATTCAAACTGTCTCTTCCAGCCCCGGTCTGCTTTCTTCTGCTGGATCTAGTCTGCGGTGGGGCTTTTAGCTGAATTCTTCATTTGACTTATTGAGCTTCTCATTTCCAATATTTCTGTCTTGTTCTTTTTCAGAATCTCTACTTTTTATTAAATTGGTTTTTATGTCCTGAATTGCCTTCCTGAATTCATTCAGTTGTTTATTTGCGTTCTCTTTGAATTCATCAGTCATTTTTTAAATTAGTCTTTTGAACCCTTTATCTTACGTTCATGCACTTCGTGTATCTTTGGAGTCAGCCGGGGATCTTCTAGAGCCGTTAGCTTTTCAAGAAGCCGTGTTGTCTTGTTTTTTCAGAGTCTTTGTGTCTCAATGTTGAGATTTATGCATCTGCTTAATCTTCTGTGTGGGGGCTTCCTAATGCGCCTGCGTCCAGGAAAGCCAGGTTGTGCACAGTGCTGAGCTCAGTTCCAAATGGAGACCAGTGCGTTTCCCCATGGTTTGGGGGTGTAATCAGTGAGTCTGACACAGCACATGCTGTGTGGGAACCTGTGACCCTGTGTGTCTCACAAGGTGGGAACCCTGTGAAAGTTCAGGCAGGTGCAGGCAGACAGTTGTGTATATCAGGTCACTCTCTATGGTCACTCCTCCAGACTCGTGTGGTCGGAAAGGGTGTGGGAGCCACCTCTGCTCCGGTCCCTCACGGTGTGGTGTCTGAAGCAGCTGCCTTGTCTCTTCGCTGCAGCTACGGGGGTGAATAGCCAAGATGAGGACTTCGGGCTTCCCTAGCCCTGCTTACTTGGGGCTGAGTCATCAGCAGGAGACTTTTATCTCGCCTTCTGTTGAAGACAAATCATTCGCTCAGGTTTGAGCAGGACTGAGTCACGGCTGGATTGAGACAGTTTCTTACAACTGGGCTGGGGGCGTAGGTCAGTACAAAACGCCTGCCCAGCCATGCTTGAGACACTGGGCTCAATCCGCAGCCTACTGAGAAAGAAGAACATGAACGAGAGGAACGACTGCTGGGTCCAAACAAACCAGGTATGGAAATGTAGTCGTAACAAAAACAGCCACCACCGAAGCGTCAGTGACGATAGAAAAGGGCAAAATAATACAGAATGAGCTGAAAAGTTGCTGATTAATAAAGAAAAAAAACTTTAAGTAGCCTGGGCGCAGGGGTGGCACACACCTGTGACCACGGTGACTTGGGAGGCTGAGGCAGGAGGATCACAAGTTCAAGGCCAGCCTGGACAACATAGTGAGACTCTGCCTCAAAATATAAGTAAAATGAGTTGGAAAAGTAACTCAGTAGACTACTTGCCTAGCATCCATGAAGCCTTGACTCAATCCCCAGTAACACAGATCTCACACACACACACACACACAATTTTTTTAAAAGAAGAAAATAATACAAAAAAAAGGAAAAATTAAAAAGTGGGAAAACAAGAAAGTGGAAGAAAAAAGAGAAAGAAAAGATGAACTTAAAGATTTTTTAATTGGGCTGGGGCTGTGGCTCCGTGGTAGAGCGCTTGCCTAGCACATGTGAGGCCCTGGGTTCGATTCTCAGCACCACATGAAAATAAAAATATTGGGTCCACTTACACCTAAAAAAATAAATATCAAAAAAAGAGATTTTCTAATTGTAGAGGAAAGAAGGAGATGGAAGAAGAAAATAAAATTAAATGTTCAATGTTACAAGGAGAAGAGAATAAATAAAGGAGAAAGGACAGAAGAAGAGAGAGGAGGCGCACCGGAGCCCATCTCGGCCCTCAGGCGGGGCGGGGCGGTGGCCGACCCACGACACACCACCCCTCGGCTCCAAATGTGGCCCCACACAGGCACCCTCCCTCCCCTGGCTGGGTTCCAGGTGGACGGTCCTGATTTGTCATGGTGTCCCCCAAAGCTCGCGTGTGAGCCCAGCAGGGAGGTTCCGAGGAGAAGTGCCTGGGCTGTGAGCCTTGACCCAGTCAGTGAATCAGCCACCTGAGGGTCACCTGCATGGTGACTGAGGGCAGCTGGGGTGTGGCTGGAGGAGGTGGGCACTGGGGCGTGGCTGTGGGCTGTAGATTTGTCTCTGGCAAGTGGAGTCTCTCTCTCTTCCTGAGCACCATGATGTGAGCCGCCTCCTCCTGCCACACATTTCACCATGAGGTTCAGCCTCGTCTCAGGCCCTGAGGAATGGAGCCGGCCTCTGAAACCGGGAGCCCTCAACGAACCTTTCTTCTCTATCGTTGTCCCGGCCCGGTCCACTAGTCACAGCGGTGAAAAAGCTGACTCAACGCAACGGCAAAGCGACTTTTGTTCATGGCTTGGCCTCCCCCACCGGGAGCTCTCAGCAGCTTGGTCTCAGATTTCTCCCACAGCCAGGCCCGTCCTCAAGGCCAGTGCCTGCTGGGTCAGGGTCGGACTTCTGCTGCTGGTTCCCAGACACAGGAAAGGGTAGGCTCCTGTTCTGAGTTAGATAAGGGGTGTCCCCAGAGCTCATGTGTGAGGTGATACAAGAACACTCAGAGACGAAGTGACTAGAGAACGAGAGTCGTGACCTGATCAGTGGATTGACCCACTCAGGGGACTAACCGGGTGGTGACCGTAAGCAGGTGGGGTGTGGCTGGACGAGGTGGGTCCCAGGACTGTGGCTTTGGGCTTCTGTGTTGTCCCTGGTGAGTGGATCTCTCTCCCTGCTTCCTGACAGCCATGTCCCGAGCTGCCTTCCCCCTCCACACCCTTCCGCCATGATGCGCTGCGTCTTCCTGGGCACAGAGCAAACAAGTTGCCATCTACGGACAGAGACCTCTGAAACCAGGCGCCAAAATGAACTTCTCCTCTTCTGAAACCGTTCTTGTTGGGTCTTCTGGTCACAGCAGCCAAAAGCTGACTAAAACCACTCCCGGGGTAGCTCGGGGGACCACAGGTGTATGGATGCACTCATGCCTGGTGCTGAGGCCTTTCCTGGTTGGGTTTGGGGTGTCTTCACCTTATCCTGGTCCTCTGAGTGCCACCAGAGTGCCACCCAGGCGCTCAGCATTGAGGCCTCCCTCCCTGTTCAAAGTCTGTTTTTCCAGTCCCTGTTCACAACTGAAATCCAGCACCTTCCACAGTCACCCCGTTGAGGAGTAGCTGCTCTCCCGTGTCGAGGTCCCGTCCCCTGAGACTCTGCTGATAACTGGGTGTTTCTAAATCTGCATCTTAGAATCTATCCAAGATCTTTCATTTTCATGGTCTGTCAACATTTGATGTTGAGTTTTTTGGCTATTCTGTTGTGAAGTCATGCGTTACCAAGCTTTCAATTTACATTGGCCCATGAGTTACTGGTCTTTCACATGCTTGTTGAATATTCATGTCTGTTCAGGTCTTTTGCCCATTTTTAAGATTGTGTTCTCATATTTTGGTTGTGGATGTATCTAGAAATTCTTCTTATATCACAGACACGAGTACTTCATCAGAGAGATAGATGCACTGCCAATTCTTCCCCAAGTTGGTGTCTTACTTTTATGTCTTCTTTTTTTTTCTTATTTTTTTTGTAGTTGTGGATAGACAGAATGCCTTTATTTTATGTGTTGATTTTTATGTGGTGCTGAGGATCGAACCCAGCGCCTCACACATGCTAGGCAAGCGCTTTGCCACTGAGCTACAGCCCCAGCCCATGTTTTCTTAATAATAGTTTTGATGGACATAAAATCTTAACTTTGGCAAATTTTTAATTTTAAGGGTTTTTTTTTTTGTCTTTTTTTTTTTTTTTTTGCTGTGCTGGGAATTGAACTCAGGGCCCTATGCATACTAGGCAAGCACTCGACCACTGAACAAATCCCCAGTTCACGAGTCAGTATTTTCTGAAGAGATTTTTGCCTAAGGACAAGAACACAGCCCCCTAGGCTTTATCTGACTTTCAGTTGAGGTCTTTGCTTCATTTCAAGTTCTTTGTGTGGTTTCCCAAGTGAATTGAAGCAGTATAAGCACCATCTGGGGACTTCTAAAATGCAAATTCTCATGCCCCAACCAAGACTCACTGACTCAGAAGCTCCATGAAGAGGATCCAGAAATCTGGAATTTGATTGGCCCCCTCCTGGGTGATTCTGTTGCACACTAAGTTCAAGAACCACCGTACTAAGGCCCTTATCTTTCATACTAATATCCAGCTGTTCCACCACCATTTTTTAAAGAAACTCTCCTTCATCCTTGAATGATCTTGGCAACTTGTTGAAAATAAATTGTACACGTGGGACTTGGCACATAAGTCTATCTCCTCATTCTTTCACCAAAACTCCTGTCTGATCATAGAGACTCTTAACATTATGTAGTACATGTATTCCGACTTGCTTTCCTTTTTCAATCTGTTTCTGAATTCTTTGCACAGTCATCCGTATTTTAGAATCCTCTTGGCAATTCATACCCACCCCTATAAAAAAGCCTGTTAGGACTTTGAATAGGATTTGGTTGAGTTTATAGGTCAATTTGAGGAGACTACAAATCTTAACTCCAATGAGTCTTTTATCCATGAATATAGTATACCCATGAACAAGGAGAATCATGTCTATATTTTATCTATGGCAGCCATGTTTTATAGTTTTAAGCATAGAGGCCTTTTTATTAGATTAACTTTAAGATTTGACATTGTAAATTGCATTGCTGGTTCAATTGCATTTTCCTATTGTTCACTACTAATATATAGGAATAGAATGTCATGTATTGACTTTAATCATGTGACCATGACAAATTCATTTATATACTATCATTTTATAAGTACAGATTTTTGCATTTATGTTCATGAGTACTTTATTTTCTTGTCATGTCTTTGCCAGAATTGGAATCTGACAAATTACTCATGTGGTGGACCTTTGAGTAACAACTGTACTTCCTTCTTCAATATCTTTTCTTTTTCCTTCTCTTATACAATAAGACCTGTGGAACAAAGTTGAATGGAAATGGTGAGTGATCATCCTTCCACTAAACTCAGTCACGCAGAAATGATACAATATTTTAATATTAGCTATGATGCTATTTATATGCCTTTTATAGATGCCTTTTATCAGATTGGAAATATTCCCTTTCATTCCTGTAGGCTGAGATTTTTAAAAATCAATAGGAGTTCTAAATTCTCCTAAATGCTTTCTTCGAGTCTGTTGAGATGACATCATTGCTGTCCTTATTTTGTTAATTGGATAAATTATATTCATTACTATTTTGAATTCTAAACCTACATTGCATATGTGAGATAATGCTAATGGGTCATGAGTTAATATTCATTTTATATATTTTTAGATTCAATTTATGTTTTGCTAAGAATTTTTGCTTGTACCTTCATGGAGAATATTAGTCTGTATTTTCTTTTCTTGTAATGTCTTTGTCAGAACTGGTATCTGGGGGAAAAAAAGGAATTGGAATCTGACCAATTACACACATGGTGGGCCTTTCTCCTGGTCTTCTATTATAGTGTTTTCTATCCTTTTTCTCTTCATGGTTCACTCAGAGTATTCTTTGGCCTATCTTCCTGATAATTCATTGTTTCTTCTACCTTGTCTAATCTGCCATTGAACTCACCTATTATTTATTAATGTTGGCCATGGTATTTTACAATCATACTTTTCATACTTAGTATCCAGTTCTACATCCTACAATCTGGTTTTTGAACATACTAGTCAGCTATTTTAAATTCTATGTCTGACAACTCTGATATCTGGAGAGCTGGTGGGGGTGAGGGAGTGTCTAGTCTATTTTCTGTTTTTATGTGTGTTGCTGTATTTGTCATGTGGTCCTGTCTCCTAGTATGCCTGGTCATGTTGATTAAATGCCAGATATCATGAATACAAAGTTTTATAAACAATTTGACGTTATTAACAATGCCATTCTTTGAAGGCTTTATCTTTGGTTCTGAGAGGCAATGAAAGTAGGAAATGAACACTATCATCCAATCAGTGACGGAGGCACACAGGTTGTTTTGAAGGGTAGTCCAGTTCTGACTCACCACTAGTACTGGAATCAAGCTCTTCTGTGAATAAGACTTGAAACCTGGCCTGTGCTGGATGGGAATATTCCTTTCATTCCTGTAGGCTGAGATTTTTAAAAATCAATAGGAGTTCTAAATTCTGCTAAATGCTTTCTTTGAGTCTGTTGAGATGACGTGAGGTTGGTTCCCTGGCATGTCAGTTTCTCAGCCTGGACTTTAAATCAGCAAATGGTTTGAATAGAGAAGAGATGGCACATGGTGGGCTCATTCCTGTTTCCCTTCTCTTCAGGAGCTTGGCTCCTTTGAACCCTGCTCTCTCCTGGGACACACTTTGTCTTAACCTCTTGATTCCCTTGTGGAACCACTGGCCGGCACCACTCTTCCTCTGTTACTGCTACTGACACGTCCACACCATGTGTCCTGCCCCCTAGAAACTAGTGGCCCAATGAAGTTTGGCAGCTGGGTCCTCACTGGAAGAGCCCAGTTTAACAGCATCTCTGCTGTGATTCAGGGAGTTGAGCGCCCCTCTATTCTAAAAGGTGCGTGTGCACTCTGAGGTTCAACACGTCCACGTCTACCCACTACCTCCACTTTCGCCTCTGGGCCAGTCTGAAGAAAGTCTCTTCTTCCAACGCCCTTCATTTCCCTCAGCAGCCCCTGCACCTACCCACTTACTCTCTTTCTCTGCTGCACTGTCCCCCTCCCCCAGGTCACATGCAGAAAAGAGGCCCTGGAGAAGCAGCTAGCACAAAGCCTACAGGACCAGGACACCCAGATGGACACTCTGCAGCAAGCCCTGAAGGCAAAGGCTGCTCTGACTGAGGAGCGAGTCCAGCTGCTGGCCAAGCAGGAGGCCCTGGAGAGGCAGGGGCAGCTGTCAGCTGAGGAAGCATCTGACCTCAGGTACCTGTGAGCCTGCCAGTCAGAGCGAGTCTCCATGGCCCTGACCCTAGAGACCTGCAGGGTGGTGGGAGTGGTGGGAGGCACAGGGAGGTCTGCTGTGTGTGTGGAGGTGGGCTTTGAGGGAGGGAAAGAGTGCCTTGGGGTGACACACAGCGTCTCTATACAAGGCACACCCAGGAATAGTCCTGGGGTCACCTTCCCCAAGACAGCTGTCAAGTAGCAGAAACCTGGCTCAGACCAATGGCAGGAAGGTGTGGAATGTCTTGCTCACAGGTCTGAGAAGTTCCGAGTGAACCTAGCTTCAGACAAGGCTGCTCCAGGCATTCCCACAGTCCTCAGGACCCTGCTCCTTCCTCCCTCAGTGCTAGGTGGGCTCACCTGGAGAGGGCAAAAGAAGGTCAGCAATCACCAGGGCCTTCCTCCGGCAGACAAAAAACCTTTCTCCCCACAAGTCCCTGAGGTGCTGCCGCTAGCCATCTTGAACCTCTGGGCATCCCTGCTGCAGCCTGGGAGCTGGAGCCACAGGGCTCAGAGTACAGGCTTGGGTCTAAAGCCCATCCTGCACCCCAGGAGACACAAGGCTAAGAGTCGGGGGGAGCCCCAAAGACCAAAGTCAAGAGAAATGTCCAGAAGTTGAAATGGGCACTTGTGGGCAGGATTGGTGGTGCCATAGAGTGTTGCCCATGGCCTGAACTGGTTCTAAGGCCTCTGCAAAGACCCAGGGCCGGCCGGGCTTTCCCCACCACTGAGCTCTTCTTGGGAACACCTAAGTGTCTAGAAGATTTCCTCCTGGGGTCCAGAATCTGGGAGGTGTAAGAAACCTTAGTCTCAGGTCCTCAAACCTCTTCGTGGAAAAACCTCTCCTGCAAATGCCATCAGAGCAGACGCCTGGGAAGGCCGCCCAGAGCCAGCGGGAGCACAGGCCCGAGGTCTGCCCTTGCTGGCTCCTTGGCCCTGGGAATGTCTGTTCCCCAAACACAACCCTGGTTAGAGCCCTCCATGGCCAGGATCTTGTCCCATGGCCCCTGCTCTCAGCCCTGACCACTGAACCCAGGGCCACTGCACACAGCAGCCCCCCAGCCCAGAAAGCCACTAGCCCAGTGGGGACTCAACCAGAGCACATCTGTCCCCCTCTCTCCGCTTCTCTGCTGGCTCTGGGCTGCGTGCTGGTGAGCTTCAGATAATCCTGATGGCGGGTGCAGGCATCCTGCGGCAGCCCCCGGCTCTGAGGACCCCACAGACGCACAGGTCTGCTGTACAAAGGGGAATGGACAGGTTCCCACCTGCTCCCCAGGCCGCTGGCCCTGGCCACTCCACCCTGCGGCATGTGGGGCCTCTGCTCCTGGGGCCCAGCTACGGAGGAGGTGCTCTTGGGCCGGACTCGCAGGGGCAGACTCCCAGGCCACACCTCTGGTAGAAGCCAGGTGCAAGTCATGGAGGAGGCAGGTTGAGGCGGACGGACGGGAAGAGAGCTTTGCCTGTGTCACCAGCTGAGGGGTTCTGGGCACTTCCGGATTGTGTGCTTTGAGCGTTTGTGTTGGTGTGTGTTGTTGGGTTGTGTTTTCACCATAAATGCACATGGCATGTGGGGGGGCGGGTTGGTCACTGATGAAATGCCAGTAACTCAGGCTTTCCCGTGTTCTGAGCATGTGCAACCGTGCAATCTGTGTGCATAGGCCGAGCACACGCCATCACACTGCGTGTGAAGTTCCAGTGTGGCGGGTTGCTGGGGGTGACTCTTTGCCAGGAGAGAATAGAAACTTGTCTTCTTGCCCTTGTTGACGGCTGCACCGTGGGCAGAGTCTGTGACTTCTAAGACCCTCCCATTTCCCCAGTGAGGACCCTGGGAAAGCCCCAGTGAGCACGGTCATGTGTGTGGTCAGCACGTCCGTGTTTCTGTAAAATGGGCACCTGTGGGTGGAACTGCAGCCCACGTGACGCGCGTTAGAGCCCCCGGCCTTGCCGACGCGCAGTGCTGTCACTGTTGAGCTTCTGCTAATCTGATAAGTGATCGATAACACCGACTGTGGTTCAAATTCCCTGGCATTTATGAGGTCTAGCAAGTTTCATGTTTTTAGCCATTTGTATTTTCTTTGTGTTTAACAGTCATTTTTTCTCATTTTTTAAATAGGACCAGCAGATTTTCGTTGATTGGTAGGAGTTCTTTGCATGTGATGGATGCTAATCCTTTATACATTTAGTGCAGATTTCCTTCCAATCTGTTCCCCGTCTTTTAAGTTGATTTATGAACTCTTTTCTGCAGGAATACTCCCCGTCCCTCTCTTCAGAGCTGCTGGACTTTCTTTCCCTTCTGGTTTTCAGGTCTTGCTTAAGAAGAATTCAAAGTACCCTTGAGGTTTTTCTACCATTTTTTTGGTTCTGAGTTGTTCTGCTGTGACTTAGTAAATGTTCTTTGTCTCTGCATTTGACTTTTTATTCCACCTGAAACAGTTTTGTTAGGGTCCAATTCATTCTTAGAAACTTGAAATGAAGGAGCCCTGTTGGTCTTCTGATCTGCTGGCCTGGCCTTGGCTCAGAGCCACTCCTCATTGGCAGGAGCTCCTGGGTGATGCGCCTGATGCTTCTCTGCAGGCTGGAGAGGGACTCTCTGGAGAGCAGCCTCTTTGAAGCCCAGCAACGGGCCAAGCAGCTGCAGGTCCAGCAGGAACAGCTGGAGGGAGAGGCCCAGAGTGCCCGGCTGGAGCAGCAGGCCTTACAAGGTGCTCCAGGGTGGCTCCCCTCGCCCTCCCCCACGGAGCACACACCCATCCCCAGGTGTACTGCCCACACACCCCCGGCCCAGGGGGCACAAATGGGGCCTGGAGCTCTTGTAACTTAGGGGCCACACGGAGGAGGCCACCAGCCTGTCTGGCCTGCACTGGAGTAGCCTGAGGCTCAGAACTGGGTGTAGCCTCCCGCCCACTCCCTGTGACCGAGCCTCTGCTTGGCCACCCGGCCATGTGCTGGCCACAGGAGGAGCAGGGGCGTCTTCATGGGCTCTGCACCAGGTGGGCCTGACACACCTGTGGCTTTGCAGTGGAAATGGACAGACTGAACAGGGACTGGACGGTCCAGGAGGCAAAGCTGCAACGGGAGGTAGGGCGGCTGCAGTGGCTGGTGACGCAGCAGGAGCAGGACCTGCAGCTGGCCCTGGAGAGACAGGCGCTGGCCCACCAAGAGGACCTGGCACGGCTCCAGAGGGAGAAGGTCTGCCTCCCAGGGGACCTTGGCACTGTCCACCTCCTGGGTGTCTGTCACATGCTCCCTGGGGTGGAACCCGGGTGGCTCACCATCACGTTCAAGCAGTGGCACCAGCCCGCCCAGCGAGCCCCTGGGCTGGAGCAGGTGGGTGTGCAGAGCCGGCTCCCTCTGCAGAAGGGGCTGGGCCCACCAGTCAGCCGGGAGCTGGAGGAAGCCTTGTTCCACCTGAGCTGTCCGCGGGCCCAGAGGCTATGTTTGACAGGACTTTATGCCTGTGTCCATCAGTGGCACTGGGTAGGGGTTCAGGTGAGGCGCAGGAACTGTTGGAAGAATGTGTGACAGTGGCGCTGAGACCTGAAGAGTCTTCCCAGCTCCTGTGGGGTCTTGGAGACAAGGGGAGGGCAGCTGGCCAGGTTGTCCAGCCCTGGTATGCAGGGCCTTGGGCCTCACACAGGACCACAGTGCCTGCTGGTCTCCTGGCCTGACCTGGCCACCTGTCCTTTGTCTCCATAGGAGGCCCTCGTTCTCTCCCTGGCAGAGGAGAAGAAGTTGGCTGTTCACAGGCTGCAGCAGGAGAGGGAGCTACTGGCAACGAGTGCGGCCACCAGGGAGACCCTGGAGCAGGAAGTGCAGACCCTGGAGCAGGAAGTGCAGACCCTGGAGCAGGAGCAGCAGGAGAGCCTCTGCCAGATGCAGAAGGTAACGGGGGCACAGGAGGCAAGGGCCCACCGCCCCATATTCTCCTCTCCAGCCCAGCACAAGGCTGTATTGGGGCCACCGCCACCAGGCATGTGCAGCGTTTCCAGGTTACCCCTGGAGCAGCTTCAGTACTCCACAGCACCCTCCTACCCAGCCATCCATCATCCGCCCATCCACCCACCCACCCACCCATCAACACATCCATCCACCCATCCACCCACCCACCCACCCACCCATCAACACATCCATCCACCCATCCATCTACCCACCCACCCATCAACACATCCATCCACCCATCCATCTACCCACCCACCCATCAACACATCCATCCACCCATCCACCCACCTACCCACCCACCCATCAACACATCCATCCACCCATCCACCCACCTACCCACCCACCCATCAACACATCCATCCACCCATCCACCCACCTACCCACCCACCCATCAACACATCCATCCACCCATCCACCCATCTACCCACCTACCCATCAACACATCCATCCACCCATCCATCTACCCACCCACCCATCAACACATCCATCCACCCATCCACCCATCTACCCACCTACCCATCAACACATCCATCCACCCATCCATCTACCCACCCACCCATCAACACATCCATCCACCCATCAACACATCCATCCACCCATCCACCCATCTACCCACCTACCCATCAACACATCCATCCACCCATCCACCCACCCACCCACCCATCAACACATCCATCCACCCATCCACCCACCCACCCACCCATCAACACATCCATCCACCCATCCACCCACCCACCCACCCATCAACACATCCATCCACCCATCCACCCACCCACCCACCCATCAACACATCCATCCACCCATCCACCCACCCACCCACCCATCAACACATCCATCCACCCATCCATCTACCCACCCACCCATCAACACATCCATCCACACATCCACCCATCTACCCACCTACCCATCAACACATCCATCCACCCACCCATCAACACATCCATCCACCTATCCATCTACCCACCTGCCCATCAACACATCCATCCACACATCCACCCATCTACCCACCTGCCCATCAACACATCCATCCACACATCCACCCACCCACCTACCCATCAACACATCCAGCCAGCCAGCCAGCCATCTACCCATCAACACATCCATCCACACATCCACCCACCTACCCTACCCACATCCACCCATATATCCGCATGTCACCCGCCCACCCATCAACACCCACAGATGTACACCCACTATATCTATCCATACAACCATACACACACATTCACACATGCACCCACCTGCCCGTCCACTCACCCACCTATCCATCCATCTGCTCAGCCAGTCGTCCAGTTGTGCATCAGGGTATTCAGTCTGACCCCCAGTGCAGGTAGACAACCATCACCACTCACTGGCCATCCGTCCCCCAGAGGCTGAGACCCCATTGGGTCTGAGGGGTGAGTGCAGGCTTCTCCAGGGCACAGGCCACCCTGAAGGGTTCGCTGTGGAGAGAATATGGGAAGACAGGTAGACAACCCCGTGGGCTGCCACCGCCTGACGAGGACCAGCTGCTGGCCCGCAGTACAGCTGTGGGGTTGGTGACTAAAACAGCCAGTCTTATTGTCCCACTGCCTTTCTAGTTTGATGCTCTGTGCTGGGGGACGCACTCTTTTGAGCCCACTTTACTGGAATCCCTTGGCGGGGGCTGGCAACTCGCCTGGTGGGTGCGGCCGTCCCTGCTCCTAGCAGCCACCACCCTGCATCCTGCAGTGGCCTGGGAGGAGGAACGGGAGCCTGGGGAGGTCAAGGAGGGTCACAGCCACCAGGCTGTGGCAGGCCCGGAAGCCAGTGGGGATACAGGGTTGTCACCAAGGGTGTCTCACAGCAGGTGTGGGTGATGGGGAGCAGTGGCCGTTCTGAGTAGGGGTGTCGTGACGGGGTGGGGAAGAGAGACTGAGACCAGGGAAGATGGGAGAGGCCAGGGCTGGGCAGGGCTAGCCAAAGAAGGGCAGGTCCAGAGGCCCTGGGGATGCAGTGGTGTTACCTGTGCCATGGGAGGAAAGAGGCCCAGAGAGGCCAAGTGACCCAGGCCCTGTGTGGCCTCATTCCTCCGACACCACCCACCAGGCAGCACTGCCCAAATCACATGCACCTGGGAGCTGCCCTACATATGCGGCCACCCATACAGAGACAGCTAAGCAGGGAGAGCAGGAGGGGGCAGGTCACCAGCCCCTGAGGGGGCTCCAGGTGGACCAGAGTCAGAGACGCATGCAGCGGGGAGCAGCACAGGGACGCTTCCCCTCCGTTCCCCACTCTCCTGGCTGCATGGACTGAGCGGGGCTTGCTCCGTTCTGTTTGGCCCGTAAACAGATCCTTTTAAGACTTTCACCGGGCACCTTCTTACTGTGTCCACTAATGAGGGTCTCAAGAGGGACAGAAGAGCCCTGGCCCTGACTGGAATGAACGAGGCTCCAGGGAGGGAGAGGGCAAGCAGGGGGCCTTCACTTCCAAGATCATCCCAGATACGAGGCCGTCCCTGCCACACTGCCGGCTCCTCGGGACTTGTTTCCTGGTGTCCCCTGCAGTGCTGGGCCAGCTCAGACCCCACAATTTAGGGGCCCAGTCCCCATGCCACTGCCTCATCTCAGATGTCGCCATCTCAAGGCCACCTGGACCTGTGCCAGCAACTGCCAGTGTGGGGTTCCCACCAGCCCCTCGAGCCAGGACCCAGAGACCACCGCCTGGGACCCCAGAAAGCGTGGCCTGACCCCGCGAGTCTCGAGAAGGCTGCACAGGGAGACAAGAGACGTGGGGCTGGGGTCCAGGCAGGCCGGGCCTGCAGCCCTGGAGTCTCTGCTGTCACCATCCTGGAGGCCACTCAGCGTCCATCCAGGGTTTCACCATCAATAGAATGATTGTCCACCCGGTTAAAGTCGGTGTCCCGTCCTCCTCCTAGAGACCAGGAGCTGACACCAGGGCTCCAAGTCTCCCTCTAACCACCTGAAACTGGGCAGAAGGCCACCACGTGGCAGCTCGTTGGCACAGTCTCAGATGTGCTCCCAGGGCCAGCATGAGTGACAGTGACGACATGGCCATTTCCCAGATGAAGAGGCTCCTGCCGGGGACTCCGGAGGAGACCAGGAGAGGGTTTAGGAAGCACCCCCTCCCTGAGGCTGCTCACGCAACCCCGCGGGCACTCCTCAACGAGCCTGGGGCACATCCTGCCAAACCCACCCTCACCTAACAGTGGGGCTTTCCTGCCTCTGCCCGGCTCAAGTCGGAGGACTGGGCCACACAGCACTGGCCTGGGGAGAGACCCCAGTGCCAACTCCACGGATGGTTTCTTGGACGGTTTCTACTGGACGGGGGGCTCAGCCCCACGTGCCCTCCGGCACCTCTACTGCGGAGGTATGGAGCCCACCTGCTCTCGGGGCCTCCTGATCCCGGGCCCCGGGGCCTCTGCACGGCAGTCGGGGCTTCGTGAGGCTTCTCCACTGCTGTGATGTTCTCTTGGGCGCGAGGCCACCAGGCACGGGCCTCTTGTGGCTCACACCGAGGTCACCTCCTGCTCGTTGCTTTCAGTGTCATAAACAGTGACAGAAGAGAGCTGAGCTGGATGTCCTGCACATGGACGGCGTCTCTAGGCCTCCCTTCCCCAGTGGGCTTGGGCAGGGAGGGAATCAGCGCTTGTGGTGTTGACGGGCATGGCCATTCCTTCCACTGTCCACGGGTTGCTGGTGGAGCAGCCCGTCCCCCTTGGCATGGGGACAAACTTGGCCTCTCTGGGTCCAGCCGCCTACCCTCCTCTCACCGTTAGTGAGATGGGCATCTGGGGTGCTCCAGGGCCATTGGAGGCTCCTTTGTGTGCACTGTGGGACCACAGTCTGCAGGGATTCGGGGTCGTGGAGTTCTGGTCTGCACTGGGAGAGAGCAGGACCTAGGCAGATAAGGACAGGGGCACCCCAAGAGGACTGTCTGAGGGCAGTGCCAGGTAGGAGGGCCTGGGGCAGAGGGAAAGCTCCGGGCGCAGGGCCCAGGCCCAGGCCCCAGGCCGCCCTCCTCGGCAGCAGGGGTGGAGGCAGGGTCTCTGGTCCTCGCCGCTCTGCTGGCCTGTCCTGTGAGGAGGCCCAGCCCCAGCTCTCCAGCCCTCTCATGAGCACCCTGTGTCCAGGCCCTGTCTCTAAAGGAAGCAGAGAGGAGCCTGCTGAAGGAGAAGCTGTCCAGGGCCACGCGGGACCTGGAGCGCGCGCAGCAGGAGGCCCGGGGGCAGCAGGCACGAGCCGAGGTGAGCCCACCACCCGGAGCCAGCAACCAGCCCCTGGCCTGGCCATGCACGGCCCAACCTGCGGCAGACACCAGCTCACCTTTCCTCCTGTCCCAGGAGCATGGCCGCTGCCTGGGGCTTCCTGCGCCAGGGAGGAGAGAGTCTGGTGGCAGGAAGCCCAGGCTGCGCTCTAGTCCCTGCCTGGGCAGGTCCGGGTGCTCGGACCCCACTTGCCCAGGGCTCCCAGCCCTCAGAACCAGCGGGGGCCCAGAGGGGAGGCCTGGCCAGGGACGAGGGGGAGGGCTGCCCCCAGGCCTGTGGCCGTCTGCAGCCACACCAACCAGCCTGGCCTTGCTGTGCGCTGGGAGGCCCAGCTGGGACCCAGGGGCTGCAGAGGCTCACCCACTGGGGTCCCGGCCACCACACTGCCCCCGAGGCCACCCACCTGTGCTGCCTGCCTGGGAGGTGTGAGGTGGGGTGGGAGCAGGTGTGATGAGTGGCAGGCCTGGGGGAGGGCGCTCGCTGGTTCTGACGTGGGGATGGGGACTCCTGGCTGACCAGGGGACGCTGGGCCGCAGGAATCGTGTTCCAGGTAGGAGGGGGCCCAGGGGCTGCCTGGCCCTCCCCTGACACCCAGACCAGACCCCATGTCACTCTGGGCAGGGCAGTCCAAGGCAGCCTGGCCCCAGACTTCGTGCTCCCAGCCGCCACCTCGGCCGGGTCCCTCTCCTGAGGCAGGCTGAGAGGGTCCCCGGGCTGGAGGATGGGGCTGTGCCCTTCCCAGCTACTCTCTCAGCCCCCCTGTGGGCAGGGAACCAAGAAAGCGCTGAGACGGGGAGGGACGCCTGCTGCTCTCAGGGGAGCCTCCGGGAGCTGGCTCCTGGAGCATTTGTGTGGCTGGGTCTCCCCTGGACCCAGGATGGACCTGCCGGCCAGTGAGCTCCTCGGGGAGCTCCTTGGGGCTCTTTTACCACCTCAGCTCCAAAATCAGGAATCAAACCCTCTGAGAGGAGTGGGAGTGGAAACGCAGCCAAGGAACAGCTGGGGTGACATGGTCAGGAGCCACCAGGGCACAGGGGCCTGCGGCCTGTCATGGCCACCTCAGGGCTCTCGGCCAGAACCTGTCCCCAAGGTCCCAAGGTGTCCTCCAGCCTCACTGAACAAGCAGTTCTGGGGCCGCGCCAGGGCACGAAGCCCATGTCCAGCTGTCCAAGGCGACGCGTCCGTCCAGGAGGCAGCGGGGGCAGAAGAGCCTGCTGTGCTGCTGCCAGAGCCGGTGGAAGCCCACAGCCGTGCCCCAGGCAGCGGCCTGCAGGACGGGGGCACCCACACAGCCCCTGTGCCTCCCTGGCACCCCGTGTCCCCTCAGCTGCCCTCCTCTGCCCAGCTGCTGCTAGTAGGCCACAGATACTGTGGCCTGGGGAAGAACCCCCATGTGAGGACACTGTGGCCCAGGGTAGGTGGGGAGCGTCCTCACTGGACAGGAGAGCAGGTGTGGGACAGGAGGACAGTTTGGGCTAGGCTGGGTCCCAAGTGGTGCCAGAGCTGCCTAGGCAGGGTGGCATCCAAGGGCAGGCAAGGCTGAGTGCTTCACGCTGGCAGCTGGCAGAGACAGTGGGTGTCCCCTCCACCTGCCACTGGACAGTCCAGGGAGGAAGCAGCAGAGCGGCACCCCCTTCCCGGGAAGAGCATCTCTAACGATGTTCTGGCCTCCTCAGCCCATGCAGACGGGCCTGGGTCCCCTGGGGAGGGGAAATGGGCACTGCCTCAGGGTGAGGCCACCTCTCCTGGGTGACCTCAGTGAATGCTGCAGGCCTCAGGCCCCAGGGGCTCCTCTACATCCTGGGCCTGTGTGGCCAGCAGGCCCTGCCAGGCAGAGGTGACCCCAGCTGACTGCTCAGCATCACTGAGGGCAGGGCCTGTCCACACGGCAGATGACCATTCCTGATCCTCCCCCTGGGCCCAGGAGCCCAGCAGGGATACGGTAGGCAGGCCAGCCGTCGGCTCTGGGGTCCTAGGCCCAGCGTCCCCTGCCGTGGTCTGGTGGCTTGGGAGCCCCAGGGGGGAAACGGAGGTGGGAGACAGGTTGGAGCCTCAGCCCCCCTCCCGGAGCCCCCCTCTGGGCCAGCACCTCTGCCCTTCACCAACATGCTGGGCACTCAGCATGCCTGACTGGCACCCCCAGCTGCACCCCATGGGACACCTACCTCAGACTGGCCTCCCTGATGTGTGGTGTGTCCCTGCTTCCCCAGGCCACCCTCAGCACCAGGACAGAGGAGCTACAGGCCCTTCAGGCCCAGTTTGAGGAGGCCATCTCCTCCCACCAGACACAGGCCGCAGCTCTGAGCCAGAGTCTCCGGGAGATGGCAGCCGGGAGGAGCAGTGCCCAGAGAGAGGTAAGGGCAGCAGAAGGAGCCGAGTGGGTGGGGCTGCGCTGGCGCTCAGAGCTGCCCTTGGGGAGGGACGGCTGGCGAAGATTCCAAACCTACAAGGATGAATTTGGCGTGGGGAGGGTGGGCGTGACCGCCCGAGTCCTGGCCACAGGAGAGGCTGGGCCCCAGGAGGATAGCCAGGGAGGGCCAACTCGTGGGAGGCTGGCCAGGACACAGGGTCCAGGTGTGGAGCCACACCCGGCCCAGCACTCTCATTCCACACAGCGCAGACACCCGGAGCCCGGGGCACCTCCCTGGGCAGGGTCTGTGGTCTCTCTTGGGAGGCAGCCGCGACTGGGGGTGGACCCGGGGAGGCTGTGGGAAGACCCGGCAGGGCAGCCCTGGTGGCACTGGGATGGGACGAGGCTGGGTGTGGAGGGGCAGGAGGAGACAAGGGGCTCGTGGGGTTTTCAGGGATGGTCAGGGGCCTGGCGGGGTCCTGGTGTTGGCACAGAGACCCCAGTGGCCCAGTCCCCATGTGATCATGATGGGGTGGGGACAGGCAGGGCAGAAGGAGCCACAGAGAGGCCAACGGGCCCAGCAGGCCAGCAGATGGAGACGGGTTTCTGAGGAGATTTGACAGGACTTGGGGGTGCCTGCAAGAGGCAGGGCAGGGGACATGTGGCTGAGGGCTGGACGAGGGGCCAGCAAAGCCCAGAGGGACCTGAGGGGGCAGGTGGCCTCCTGGCTCCCTGGGCTGTGGGCCGAGCAGGGAGAGGGGCTCAGCCCCCCCAGGCACGCCCCGCGTGAGCCCCCGAGAGGAAGACAGCATGATTTACCACGACGGGCTATTCACACTGGCCCCCAAAAGAAGGGGCTCCTCCCAGCCAATTTCCAAGTCAGACCTGGTCAGTGACCACGGGAAGGAGGGTGAGCTTTCCAAGATGGGGCAGTGGGGAGGCTGGGGACACATTTGTTCTGGTGGATGCAGGTGGACATAGGCTCAGGGCAGATCCAGGTGGTCAGAGAGGACCCTAGAAAGGGAGTGGAGACCCCACAAAAGGAGTAGGGACCTCACAAGGGGAAGGGGACCCCCACAAGGGAAGTGATGGCCCCAGAAACAGAGTGGGGACCCCAAAAAGAGTGTAGGAGTGACAGGGGACTGAGGGGGTGCTCAGAGGAACAATCACAGAGAAGCAGGCGCCAGGTGAGCCCAGGGTTGCTATGGAAACCAGAGCCTGTAGGCTGGAGGACCTTCCGGGCCCTGCCCGAGGCTCACCCCACGCACAGATGGGGCCAGCACCATCCACCCGTTGTGTGTACATATCCCACGCTGCTTAAGAGCACGCACACCAAGTGATAAGTGCACACTGAACATGTGCACATGCACACCCAGGCTCTCACATGCATTCACGCACTCACACATGCAAACACACTCCGGCACCACCGAACACACATGCAGCATAAAGATGAATGGCAAGCACACACGTGTGCACATGCAAGCACATCCATCATGCCTGTGGACGGTGCATGCACACTCTCACTCGGCCACACGTTTGCACACCCACTTGTGCATGCACACTGCACACTGGCCCCCAGGCCAGCCCACAGCTGCCCCTCCCCCGCTTTCCCTCCCTGCCTCCTCTGCAGCTGCCCCCCTGCAGGAGGTTTCAAAAGCGGCTGTTTATACAATTTCTAGTAAAGAAATAATTATTATAATCACATTAAGCGATTTGGCTGTAAAGTTCCCGTAAAAGGGACGGCTGCTCTTATGAGGCGGGTGGGCAGACACAGGGGGTAGAGGTGGGGGGGGGTAGGGTGGGGGTGGGGGTTTGTTTTGCTTGTTTTCATCCCCTCCGCCCTGGGAAACGAAAACGGCTTCTTTTATGATGGATGGGCCCTTTTCCTGGTCCTTGACCTCCTGGGCGGATTTCTGCTGAGCTCAGCGGAAAATGCTCGGCACAGTTGCTGCTCCCACATGTGGGGGTAGGAGGGGAGCTGAGGGGAGGCTCGGGCCCTTCCCAAAAACAGAACAACAAGAACAGCAGGCAGACTCCGGGCCAGGCGGCCAGGGGCCTGGACAATGTCCTGTGAAAACAGCCAGAAAAGAGGGCTTTGCTTTGGGCACAGCAGCCACTCGCCGAGTGTTTGTGGCTTCCCTCTTGGCTTACCCCTGCCCACTTCCTCCACCGCCCCCTCCCCAGGGGCCCGCGAGAGCCAGGATGGAGCCTTCCCAGAGGCAGCTGGTCAGGGCCACAGCTCAGGCCTGGGAGGCAGGAGGCCAGGGGTCCAGGCTGGGCCCAGCAAGCTCCCACCACCCATAGCCTGAGTGCTGCAGCTCCGAGCCTGCCCAGTTGGCCTCCCCAGACCCTTCCATCCTGGGAGCCCAGTACCTTGAGAAACCTGTGTCTTCCAGGCTGCTGACCCTCCCACTCCCATGCTGCAGCCTGGGGGCCAACTCCGTTACGTAACTAGCCCCTCCAGGCCTACCTGGAGGACCCTGTGGGTGAAGAGGCCACTGGTGCAGGGGGAACGTGTCCTGGTTCCAGTGTGATGGGGTCATACTCTGGGCCCTGGACAACCCTGGCAGGGAACGAGGACTCACAGCACCATGGGGCAGCTCAGGTGTGCAGGACGCACAAGGCCAGGAGTGGGGTGGGGGCCGCGGCTCCTGCTGGCCCCAGAGCCCACCCACAGTGGCCTTCTTTCTGTGCCTCCTGCTCCCAGGCCTGAGACCCTGCTCCTGTGGGCTGAGCTTTGTGCAGGGCTCCTATAATGGGGACAGCTTCCAGTCCCAGCAGCTGGGCAGCCCAGCACCAGTGGCTTCCCAACTGCCAGAAAATTCTGAGGGCCCAGGCGCCCTTCTCCCTCCCCACTGCCTCCCCGTGGATGGAGGAGGCAGAGCAAGGAGGCCGGAGTCGGTAGGCATGCCCATAACCATGCAGTGGCCAGTGCTGAGCCACTGGGTTGCTGACCCAGCTGCCCACTGCAGGGCAGGAGTGGCCCTCGCTGACCCTCATTGCAGGGGAGGAGTGGGTGCAGAGGCAGCAAGTAGGAAGGGCCACCGGGCAGCAGCAGCTGAATATTGGTGAGGACAGTGCAGATGTGTGAGCAGACTATGCCCAGGCAGGCCCTGCCCAGCAGTGGCCAGTGTCCTGGAGTCCAGGACAGGGACAGGCCAGGATGGGGACTGGGCTTAGGGACTGGCCCTCCTAAGCTGCCCCCTGGCCTCAGCAGTGGTAGAAAAGTCCTCCCCGTGGAGGGCGGGGCTGGTGTCTAGGCTCCCAGGCTGCGTAGACACCAGCACCTGCCAGACCAGTTTCACCTGTGTGGCCCACGGCTGTCCTGGACCACGGGTCCTCGGCCAGCCACCAGAGCCACATGCTTCCATCAGGCTGAGAGGCTGCGGGCACAGCTGAAGGTGGCCCAGGAGGAGCTGGTCAGCCTGCGCCAGGAGCGACGGGGCTGGGAGGAGAGCCGAGAGGGTCTGCACAGGGAGGTCCTGGAGGCCCGCCGGGCTCTGCGTGACGAGGCCCTCGAGAAGAGTGTGCTGCAGGGCTCCAACGCCGAGCTGCGGGCCGCCGTCCGCAGGGCCGCACAGGAGGAGGCCAGGTGTGGCTCAGCCCAGGCTGCAGTGAGGGGTCTGGGCCAGACAGACAGTGGGGAGAGGCGCCAACCCCTACCCCGTCTGAGAGGCCTGCCAGGGCCAGCCCAAGCAGCAGGGAAGGGGGGTGGACATGGTCCCTGCCTTCAAGGAGTTGCCTCGCAGCCCCTTAGACAGGCCAGCCTGGCCTGTGGGAGATGGGGCCTGGCCGGGCTGCAGGAAGGCCCCTCTGAGGCACAGCAGGTTGGCGCAAGACATGAGGTCTCCAGTGGTGTGGTGAGGGCCAGAGAGGTGAGGGGCAGGCTACAGAGAGGCTGAAGAGGTGGACAGTGGACACTGGACAAGGCCCATGCTAGCAGGTGCTCGGATCTGGATGAGGCTGGGTCTTGGAACAGTGCATAGGGTCTGCACTAGGGACCGGGTCTTACTTGGGGAGGAGGTCAGGCCTGGGGTGTCCAGCCAACCTCTGGTGCTGGCTCAGTTTTAAGCGGTCCCAGGAGGAGCAAGAGCAGAAGCTGTTGGGGCTGGAGGAGGCCTGGGCAGCTGCTCATCAGGAGGCCGGGGTGCTGCGGGCCAGGCTGCAGGAGCTGGAGCAGGCCTGGGGGGACACCCGCCGGGAGCTGCAGGAAAGCCGCAGGCAGGTAGGGGTCCCCACCCTCCCCCAGGCTGCTCCCTCAGCCATCCTGGGAGGGGCTTCTTCCAGGGGCCACGCTGACCAGAGCCACATTCTAGTGATGCCCGCCCAGCTCAGAGCCCTCCGTGCCGCTGAGCTCTCTGGTCAGCGCCCCTCCCAGCCCTCCTTGTCCAGCTCCACTGGTGGTCTGCACCCAGAGAGGACTTCCAGGCGTGTGTCTGCGGAGTGGCTGAGCTCGGTTCCCAGCACCTGGTCACGGGGGGCACCAAGGCCCCTCCCAGAGCTGGACTTAGGCTGAGGCTCCCAGAATATGGTCAGCTGCCAAGAGGGAGGACACATGAGCAGAGGCAGGGAGGGGAGGCTGTGGGGCTCCTGCCCCCGCCCCAGTGCTGCCACCCTCCCAGGTGAGAATGCTGGAAGGTGAGAATCGGAGGAAGAGCCAAGAGGTGAGTGAGCTGCAGGCCCGGGGTGCACAGGACGCCCAGCGTCAGCAGCAGAGCCGGCAGGAGGCACTGGGGCTACAGAGGCAGGTGACAGAGGCCGAGGCCACCCTCCAGCAGACCCGGAAGGAGGTAGGACCTGTGCTTTTCTTGGATAGGTCTGAGGAGAGGCCAGGAAGGAGCCCGAGCAGAGAGGCGGGAGGCACCAGATGGGGGCGGGGAGGAGGCCAGAGGACCCACTTGTAGGCTGACTCCCACCTGCACCTGTGGCCTGTCCACAGCCCACCTGCTAGGTGGCTGTGCAGCCAGGGGCAGGGGGACGGATCTGAGGAAGGCCCAGTTACAGACACCTCCCTGGGCTTCCCCAGGAGCTGCGTTCTAGAAAAGGCTGTGTTTGGCCCAGATGAAGGACAGAGTTCTGAGCAGGAGGAGGCAGGGGAGCTTGAAATAGGGATGCCAGGAGCCGGTGGTGCTGAGCTCACGCTGTGCCCAGGCACACACACCCCCCACCCCACACCTGCACACAGACCCTGCCCCAGGCCCACCTGCCAGCTCTGTGTGCTGAACCAGAGGCTGCACACAGCCAGGGCTCTCCACCCTCCCAGAGCCGGAAGAGCTCCCGAGCCCCAGGGTCACTGACCACACAGGGCCCCTGGTTCAGAAAGCTGTGCGTGCCACCCACAGTCGCATTGAGCCTGGGCCCCAAGAACCCGGGGCTGACCTTCCACAGCCCACGTGACCCACCAGGTGACCTCAGTCCATCTGTGAGTCATTGTGTCCACCCAGGAAGCAGGATGAGACCAGGCCTGCTTGCCACCCTGCACCTCGGACTCAGAGGCCTGTCTGGTCCCTCCCCACCCTGCAGCCTGCACACTCCTCACTCACCCACGCAGGTGGAGAGGGCACCTGTGTGTGCAGATGCTGGCCCAGGGCTGTGCCCCGACCAGCATGGTGGGTCCTAAAGGGTCTGCAGCAGGGGCCGAGGAGCCCCCAGCAGGAGGGGTGCTGGGACCCCTGCCCACAGCTCGGGGCTTTCAGGTGGCTGCCAGCAGGACTCTCAACTGAGGGACACTCTGTGGTCTTCAGGTGCCACCTGGCTCAGGTGACCCCACCTGCCAGCTTGTGACCTGCGAGGGGGTTGAGGCCCAGAGGCCTGGGGAAGGGTCTCCCAGGGGCAGAGAGGCCTGGGTCTCCTGGCTGGTCCCCCCACATCCCTCCTGCAGGTGCTAGGCCTGCAGCAGCAGCTGGCGGAGGCAGAGGCCTCAGGGAAGGCCCGGGCACAGCAGCTGGAAGGACACCTGCACAGGAGCCAGGAGACTGAGCAGGCCCTGCGGGCCGAGGTGCACCGCGTCACCAGGAGGCTGCGGCAGGCCCGCTCCCTGGCTGACAGTCTTCAGGCTCGCCTGGACAGTGCCCATGGCCGGGTCCTTGACGTAGAGCAGGAGCTTGCCCAAGCCAAGGGTGCCAGGCGGGACGCGGAGGCCCAGCTGGACGGGCTGTGCTCCACACTTCGCCGTGGCCTGGGGCTCCGGGGTCGGAGCCCCTCCACCTCCCCAGAACGACCTGGTTCTCCCATGAAAGGTCAGTGTCCTCCTGTCCAGCTCTGTCTGTGACCTGGGCACCCCACCCCTTCCTAGGCCTCACACAACCCACACATGAGGGGGCTGGACCAGGCCCAGCAATTGGGAGCCTGTGCCCACATGTGCCCCACCCCAGCGCCCACAGCAGGAGCTTCAGGAAGAAGGGGAGGGTCCCGTTTCTGTCACCAACCCTCCCCACATCCTCTCCACTGTCACCGACGCAGGTTCCAACAGCTCCCAGGCTCCACCTGAGTGGTACAGAGCCAGCTCCCCCACCAGGGCCCATTCACCACCCCGCTGGCACCCACCTGCACCTGGAGACTGCGACTCAGAGGTCATTGATGTGGCCTCTGTGCAGGACGCACTGGGGGACCTTATGCAGAAACTTCAAGATGCCCAGCGGGAGCGGGTGAGGGGCAACTGGGGTCCTCCCCACCCACGTGGGCACACCCCCTGGGGGCCCTGGGATCAGGGAACACAGCAACTCACCCAGATGACTCTCCATCTGTGTGTCTGTCCTCAGACCCACTGAGACCCTGGCAGGGCCTTGGCAGAGGCAGAGGAAGGTGACTGCTGCCCACTGCTCCCTCCCCTGCCCCCTGGGAGACGTCTGAGTGTCTAGACGGTCCTCTGTGATCCCACTGCCCTCCAGGCCTGACCCTCACATGGCCTAGGGCCACACTGTCCCTCAGGGTGGGCCACAGAGCCCCTGGAGTTGGCCCACTGTGATGTCCCCTGGGGACAGGCACTCGCCATCCCATGCCATCCCTGAAGAACTGTCCCCGAGGCGGGGACAGGCACGGCAGGACCCCTCCCCTGAGGACACCTATGCAGTGGATGTCCAGTTGTGCTCCTGGCCCCGGGACTCCAGCAGAGCCTGCAGTCTGCCCCTTCCCAACTGGCCAGGTGGCAGGGTGGGCTCGGGACCCTGGTGGCTGACAAGTGGGAGAGGCCGACGACAGTCCCAGGGCTGCCGGGCCCCAGCAGTCCTTCAGGCCCACTGCCCACTGACACCAGACCAGGGCCAGGTCCCATTCCTCCCAGCCCTGGCTCCCTTCACACTGCCCACAGGCTGTGTCCAGCCCCTGCCAGCTCCTACTCTGCCCAGCCCTCCCTCCGGCCACTCGGGGCCCTCCCAGGCCAGCAGCTCATCCAACCACCAGGCCTGACCTTCCCTGCAGCCCACAGCCCACACTGTCCACTGCCCTGCCCTACTACAGCTGCCCTCCTGACACCCCAGCCTGCTAGTGGACACCTCTGCCCTCCACTTGCCCTCCAGGCTGTCCTGCTGACCTTAGTTCCTCTGCCCAGGATGAGGCCCATGTCCAGGTGCGGAGCATGAGCAGCCGGCGGCACAGGGTGGAGAGCGAACTTGCCCAAGCCCAGAGCCACCTGGGGCAGCTGCAGAGGGCCCTGGCAGAGGCAGAGGAAGGTGACTGCTGCCCACTGCTCCCTCCCCTGGCCCCTGGGAGCCGTCTGAGAGCAGCTCCAGGGGGGCGGGTGGCCCCCGAGCCGCCCTGGGCCTGGCCAGCGCCCGCTCCCTCACGGAGGCAACCCCAGCACGGGGGCAGTCCCGAGACTCTGAGGCTCTGCAGGTCAGGCCTAGCCCCTCTCCTGTGACTCCCACCCCGGGTCTGGGCCCTGGCTGTGCCCACTACCTGGCCCTCTTCCCAGATAACCACACATGGGTCCCCCACTTGGACTCTGCCTCCTCTAGCCTCCTCAGAAGGGTCCCCACCCAGCCCTTACAAGCATGACACTGACTGCCCCCCTGAAGTGTCGGCCAGGAGGGCAGCCTGGGCTCCGGGAGAGTCAGCCACAGGAATGTTGGTGGGGGCGGGGAGGGGCAATGGCGGTGGGAGGACCCCGGAGCCTGAAGGAGAGGAAATGAGGGCCATCGCCAGGACCTGAACTCTATGGAGGAGCCAGTCACAGGTCCTCCGAGCTTCGTCTGCAGCCTGTGAACTGGGGGGGCAGTCCTGGGAGTGTGATCCCCTGGCAGCCTGCAGGCCTTGGGAGTCCCCGCCATCTGGTTCCCCAGGTCGGCACCGGGCAGAAGGTGCTCTGAGCAGCACCCGGGCAGCAGGGGCCCTGCAGAAGGAGGCGCTCCGGAGGCTGGAGACCGAGCACCTGTCCAGCTTGCGGGCGGCCAGCCAGGAGAGGCGGCGGCTACAGGTAGGCAGGCAGCGGGACAGGGAGGGAGGTAGGGGGCTATAAGAGCTTCGAGTGTCAGGCCAGAGGTCAGTGGCTGGACCAGAGTCCCTGTGGGAATGGGGCACAGGCACACTAGAGAGTCACTGGCACTCAGACCCCAGGCTGAGCCACCCCTGGAAGAGCTGCGGGGGCTGTCCCGGCCCCTGCTCTCTGTACCGAGGGCACACGCTGTCAGGGGCCACCCTTCCCTCTGGCCACACTGGCAGGCCTGGGGAACCCTGGCCAGCCACGGGGCTCCTCTTGGGTCGTGTTCCGGCTGCTGCAGGACAGCCTTTCGTGCCGTGCTGCTCAGACACAGAAGGGGTTGAAGGATTCAGGTAAACGTCCCACCACGCCAGGCCACATGCTATGGTCTCAGGTGAGGGCAAGGGGCCAGGCCTGGGGGACAGCCGCTGGCCCAGGCAATGGCTGTGTCCGGCTGTCTTGTGCCCATGGCTGCCTGGGCACTCCCAGGTCTCATGGTCTGGCTCTGCACTTAATGACTCTGTGGAGTCCCTCCCTCTCGTGGGAATGGGCACAGGGCGCTTCCTCACCCAGGCTTCTGTGGTACGACAGGTCCCCTGTGCTGGCTCGCTGCTCCCGTCCCTCCTCCTCCCTCCTCCCTCTCCCTCCTCCCTCCTCTCTCTCCTCCCTCTCCCTCCTCCTCCCTCCTCCCTCCTCTCTCTCCTCCCTCTCCCTCCTCCTCCCTCCTCCCCTCCCCCTCCTCCCTCTCCCCCCTCCTCCCTCTCCCTCCCCCCTCCTCCCTCTCCCTCCTCCCTCCTCTCTCTCCTCCCTCTCCCTCCTCCTCCCTCCTCCCTCTCCCTCCCCCCCTCCTCCCTCTCCCTCCTCCCTCCTCTCTCTCCTCCCTCTCCCTCCTCCTCCCTCCTCCTCCCTCCTCCCTCCTCTCTCTCCTCCCTCTCCCTCCTCCTCCCTCCTCCCCTCCCCCTCCTCCCTCTCCCCCCTCCTCCCTCTCCCTCCCCCCCTCCTCCCTCTCCCTCTCCTCCCTCCTCCTCTCTCCTCCCTCTCCCTCCTCCTCCCTCCTCCCTCCTTCCTCTCCCTCCTCCCTCCTTCCTCTCCCCCTCCCTCCTCCTCCCTCTCCTCCCTCCTCCCTCTCCTCCCTCCTCCCTCTCCCTCCCCCTCCCTCTCCTCCCTCCTCCCTCTCCCTCCTCCTCCCTCTCCCCCCTCCTCCCTCTCCCCCTCCTCCCTCTCCCCCCTCCTCCCTCCTCTCTCCTCCCTCCTCCCTCTCCCCCCTCCTCCCTCCTCTCTCCTCCCTCCTCCCTCTCCCCCTCCTCCCTCCTCCCTCTCCCTCCTCCTCCCTCCTCCCTCTCCTCCCTCCTCCCTCTCCCTCCTCCTCCCTCTCCCCCTCCTCCCTCCTCTCTCTCATCCCTCCTCCCTCTCCCTCCTCCTCCCTCTTCCCTCTCCTCCCTCTTCCCTCCTCTCTCTCCTCCCTCCTCCCTCTCCCTCTCCCTCTCCCTCCGGTGATGGCCCACAGGCCTCCTTCTCTCTGTCTTGGTCAACTCTGGGGTCCAGGCATCTGACAGGCTGAGAGCATTGTCTTTCAGTGTTAGTGTGACCTGCTGTGCTGCTATGCTCAGGGATCCTGGCTGGGCCAGGGACCCTTCCCACGCCCCTCTCTGGCTGTGTCCTAGGGGCGGAAGGCTGTTGTTCCTAGGAGAACTTCCTGCAGACCATCCCTCGGGAGGCCCTGTGCCCCCTGCCCGCCCCCTCTGAGTGCAGAGTTCTGAACCCCACCCCATGGTGCTGCAGACCCGGGCTCTCTGCCCACTGCAGCCCACACTCCGTGCAGTCCCTCCCGACCGCTGAGCACCTGCTCCCCCTGGGTCCACAATCAGGAGCTGGCCTGGCCCAGGGGCCCTCAGCAGGGCCTCCTGCCAGCTGAGTCTTGGGCTCACCTGACCTCTGGGCAGGGTCCCTGAACCATCCGGGTGTTGGCGAAGTCTGCTTCCTTGAGGTTCTGGGACTCAGCTCCTGGGTGAGGGCTTCTGGGCCTCTCCTGGCCGTGTCACCAGCTGGTCCCCAGGTTGAGTCCCGGCACACCCGACACCCACTGTCCCTGTTCCTCATAAGCCCAGAGGCTGGTGTGAGAAGAGGCTCCACTCTCTCCCTGGCTAATTTGGCAACAGACGGCAGCCTTACCTGCCCCAGGGGTCTGTGTCGAGGGACCTCATGTGACCTCAGCATCACACCAGGATCACGCCCTGCCGCAGGGCCCTGGCTCCAGCTCAGCCCGGCAGCTGGGCTTCAGGCCTGGGGACACAGGTGGGCAGAGCTGCCCCCCAGGACCAGGCTCAGGATTTGCCCTCTGCCTCCCACTGAGTGGGCCCAGGGGACGTGGCGTGTGGGTTCTGGACCTCCCTCTCCCGTGCCCTTTTCAGAGTGGGATCCAGAGGCCCATTTTTCTTTGAAACTTAAAAATGTCACCAGCTGTTGGTTTCTTCTTTTCTTCCTGTGACTTCTGCTGTCTGTGGTGAGCCCTGGTGTTTCCAGTGCCTCCACTTCACAAGCCTCTCCTCCTCCTCCTCCTCCTCCTCCTCCGGGCTTCGCACTGGGATTCTCAGCCTCAGAGACCAGAGGCCTCGCCGGTCCTCCCGGCTGGCCCGATTGCTGGTCTCTAAGTGGCTGCTTAGTGTTTCCCTCAGGGGTCTCCCGGGAGCCCCCTGAGAACCCCAGAGCCAGTTCTGACAACGACTCTCCTTTCTACCAGGGTGCTCCCTCTTGGGTGCTACGTGTCCCTTGGGTGTCCTTAAGGAAGAAGGATCTGCTGAGTGCCAGATGAACTGGGGGTGGACCTGCAGGGACTAGAATTGCCCCTGTCCTGACGTCGGCCCAAAGGAAAGGCAAAGAGGGGTTCTAAGCTCTGAGGCGTGGGGAGCAGTGCGGCCCACATGGAGCAGCCCACCCCAGCCAGAGTGAGGGGCTCAGCTGTGGAGCACCTCCCTCTCCCATGCTCCTGGCCCCTCACCTGCTGCCCCCAGCCTCATCCTCCTGAGCCAGGCTCCAGGGTCCTGGGGCTGCCCTTGGGGTCTCCTCAGCTGGAACAGAACCTGCTCTGGGCACTTGCTCTCTGCTCCACGTGGAATTCACTCATTTTCTTCGTGACGTATGCAACCACATTTGTAGATGGCACTTTTATGATTCTGGCAAGTACCATGTTCACTGCTCGGGGGCAGTTAGTTCCAGTGCCCCCAGGACCCCCTGAAGCCCTGCTCTGCAGCTGCAAGGGGGTCTGCCAATGGTTGTGACCTGCTGAGCATTGTGGTGGCCTCAGAGAGGAGCTCAGCCCCTTCGCCGAGTCACCGGGGACCCCACGGTTTGACAGAGGCCCAGGCAGAGGGCCCGAGGGTTCACTCCCTGCCCAGCACTGCCCGAGGCCGCGTGGCTATGGGACTCTGCCAGAGCAGGCCGGGTGCCCTCCTGGCTCTGCCACACCCTGGGCAGCCGTCCTCTGGAGCAAGCTCTGCATTTACACAGATTCTTTCACTTTCACGACTGGTCCCCGCTCACCAGCCCCCACCCCCTTTCACAGGAACCAATGTGTTTGTCAAGAAAAAGTTAATTAAAAACATATTTTCCTAATTAAATGGCAGGCTGTGCTGTGCACACAGTACGGCTCTTGTTGGAGAGAGACCCTCCCCGTTCCCAGGGCTACCCTGGAACCCAGCAGAACAACAGCACACAGCCAAGCCCACAGCGTGGGGACATGCCGGGCGCAGCACCCGGCTGCCCACAGCTGGCCGGGCCTCTGATCAGGGCCATGCCTGGAACCTGCCCAGCACTGCCCACACACACCCTGCTTATGGCCCGGGGAGAGGCCACAGCACTACCTGCAGGCTGCAGCCACATGGCTCACAGCTCCTTGACTCCTGCCCAGCTCTCCTCCCTCCCTGTGCCCGAGCACGCCACAGCCAGCCCAGCAGCCCTTCACGTCCCCCGGTACCAGCCCTGCTCACTGCCCTGCTGCGGGCTGACTGAGCCTCAGCCTGCCTTCCAGGCCCTGGCTGTGGACACTGGCCCACAGGTGGAGTCCATCACTGCCTGCCTGAGTCCACGGCCACAGATCTCTCTGTGCCAAGGCCACGTCTGCCTTTGTAGTCACCTGGACAGTCCCCGGGAGAGGAACTGAGTCCCTTAGGGCTGGACTGCACTGCGGCCCTGCTCCTGAGGAACCTTGGCTCCCCGCCACCCCTTCCCGCACTGCTCCACCTTATCTCCTGTGGGGACGAGGGCTCAGGCATGCCCGCATCACCTGGCACCTCGTGTGGGTCCCACCAGCTCCTCCTGCCCAGGTTGGGTGGTCTCTCTTCCTCTGACCCCCCCCCCCCAGGGCACCTGCTTCCTTGGCCTTGCCAGAGCCACTCTGCCCTCTTTCCTGGGGATCCTCCTGATTCCTCGTGTGGGATGACTGTGGTTGCTGTGTGACCGTAGGTTTTTTAATATGAATTCTTTCCCCTTTTGCCACTTTTCCAGGATTTTTGCTTTTCCTTCTGCCTTAACTCAGGGTCACTGAAAGGGACACGGTGGAAGCCTGGCTGGGTGGCTTCCCGCCCTCGGCAGTACGGTCTCCCCTCCTGTCCCGGCCTGCCCTTGTCCGTAGGCTGGCTGCTAGTCTGCCTTGGTCTGGGCTATTTGCTGTGGTTTATTTAGAGGGAACTGGGCCCACTGATTGCAGTTTATAGGGAAGAAGAGATGTTGGAAATCTTCCAAGAAAGTTTTCAGGCAGAATATTAGGGCTGGCCACGGCGAGTCCAGAGGACGGCTGCTGCAGAGCGGGCAAAGATGCAGGCAGACAGGCAGAGGCCAGGGGTGACCAGGACTCCTTAGACCCCCAGAGGCCACAGCCTCCCACCGTGCCAGGTGAGGACTCCTGTTCTGTAGCTGGGCTCAGGGCAAAGGCAGGGGCTCACCCATGGTGGGAGCCTGGGGACACTGGCCCGGGCCACTGACAAGACCCTAGGACAGGTCTGGGTGTTGGTGGCCCAGCTTCTGCATGTTGGTAAAGGACCTTCAAGGAGACCTCTGTCTCCTCTGCTGGCATTGAGACTGTCTCTAGCTTCATGAGCAAGGCCTTCTACAGAGACCCCAGCCTCCCCCAGTGGTCCTCCCATCTTTCTTTGGTCCCTAGAAGAACCCTGGGAGGTGTATCACGACATGGAAGACTGGGGACAGCCTGTGCCCTAGCCTGGCTCTTCCCTGCCAGGATCCCTGGGTGGGAGTAAGAGCCCCGGGTCCCGGCACTTGGCTCTGGGGAGAAGCAGGTGTCGTGGCCAGGCACATGGGCCACTGTGGAAGGTGTGCTGGGATGCAGTGGACACAGAGGCCATCGTGGGTGTCACATGAATGGTGAGGGTTTGGGCAGGGTGAAGGCAGAGGGGCTGGGAATGGAGCATGGGGTGGGGAGTGGGTGCCGGGGAAGCAGGAAGGAGTCATGCGCCATCCTGGTTCCTCAGCTGCCTGGGGCCGGCTGTGTCCCTGCTGCCTGTGGGGTAGAGAGGGATGGGGGCTGCAGGTGGGCTTGGCAGGGCAAGAGCTGAGGCAGGGAACCCTCCTCAGGGTAAGAAGGCAGAGCAAGGGGTGGGATGGGGGCAGAGGCTCAGCCAGACAAGCTCCATCAGGCTCAGGAGCGCTGCTGCTCTCCTCCGAGGTCAGGGACACTACAGGCTGAACCAGGGAGAGCTACTGCAGATGAGTCTTCTGAGAGCACGCGGAGCCCAGATGCCGGCCCAGGCAGAGCCAACAGGGCCAGCTGGCCAGGCTTCCTCCAGGTTCCCTGGCCACACCAACCACCTACTCAGCAGGTGCCATGGTCCTTGACCCTGCTCCTGCTGTTTACCGTTCCAGCATTCAGACCTGCAGGGGCACAGGGCAGATGCACTCGCACCCATTCCCTGGGGTGTCCCCCCCATGTTTCCAGGTGGGTCCTGTGTCTCCCTCCCTCCAGGAGCAAGTGGCCACACTGCAGCAGGCCTTGGGGGGAAGCAGGAAGGGCCTGGAAGAGAAGGGGAGGCTGCTGGAGGCGCAGCTGGCTGGTCTGCGAAGCAGGTGCCAGGAGGGATCCCTGGAGCCCCTGCGACAGGTGAGGCCCAGCAGGGAGAGTAGGCCCTCACCAGGAGGCAGCAAACCCCTCACCGGACTGCAGGCCGCACCTCCTCGGTCCTGCGCAGGAGGGAGGAGCCTGGGCTGGTGACCCGGATGGCATCCGATGCCCAGGTGACAGGTGGGGAAACCGAGTCTGGAGGGAGTTGGAGGGCTGCTTCTCTTGCCCCACAGTAAGCAAGCACCCTCCGACAAAGGGGTCAGCCATGGACGCACGGTGTGCGGGGAGGGGGGGCGTGGGCATAAACTGAGGCCAAGCCCAGGGCCAGCGTCAAACAGAATGCCCAGCTCTTAGAAGCCTGGGACTCCCCGTTCCGGGCCCTGGCGTCAGTAGCCTCTTCCGCCCAGGTGCTCCGGAGGCGGCCGCGCGGGAGGCAGGCGGCACAGCGTGCAGAGCGGCGCGCCCTGCGGGAGCAGACCACAGCGCTGCGCACCGAGCGGGCCCGCCTGCAGGGGGAGCTCGCGGCGCTGCGCGCGCGCCGGGCGCAGGTACCTAGTGCCCACGGGGTGAGGGTTCCCTGGCGAGGTGCGGGGTGCCGCAAGCCCTGGGAGGTCCGCGGAGACCTCCGGGGAGGCCGTGAAGGGTGTTGGTCCCGCCGGCCTCTGTGTCTCATCTGCTGATGGGGACGGCACCAACTTAGGGAGTGGCCCCTCTGGGGGTGTCGCCCTTGCCCTGCCTTGGCTCTCTGGGGGACACACCAGGGGTCATGGCAGTTCCCCTAGGCTTGTGCCTCAGCTCTGCCCAAACCTGTGACCAGCACACCACCCCCTCGGCTGTTGATGGTGGAATGGCTCCTGCCTCAGGGGCCACAGGGACCAGGCAGAGCCAGCCCAGGTGTGCTTCATAAGCCTGGCTGCAGGCCCAGCCCCTCTTAGGGCACTCAGAGAGGGGACCACTGCCCTCCTCTGGGTCCCATCAGACATGCCAGCCTGCACCACAAGACCTGGAGAGCTCAGGCGGACCAGGGGTGTTGCTGGTCACCACCCAGCTGACCTCCGTCACACAGGCCTGATCAGACAGTCTTTGTCCCCACCATTTGTGCTACTGAGGCACTGCGGAAGCCGGAGGGTCATGCCGTCCACCAGGCTGACCTGGCCAACGCACTGGGCCAGGGTGTAGGCCCGTGTGGGATGGACAGGGGGTCCAGAGCAGGCTGCTAGGGGGAGGCAGTGCATGGGATGGGGAGGGAGGGGGGCACTTGTGGGACAGGACACCAGACCCCTGTCAAAGTGAGAAAGCCAGGGCAGCCCTTCTCCACACAGCCTGCCAAGGGGCAGAGGCCAGTGGCCAGGACAGTCAGGGTTGCCCACACAGAGGGCCACCTGCCCTTCCATGAAGGAGGCACAGCCAGCAAGGCCCAGTCGGGATCCTGCCGCTCTTGCGGATGGGAGGGCCCAGCCCAGGCTGTGGATCTGGGGAGTCTCCTCGGGTGCCGTGGGGTCAGGGTGGAGCTACGTCCAGCCAGGCTACGGTGGTGCCTGGGGGCAGCAAAGCCAGCTGTGGGCATTGTGCCGGCTGCGGGTCCCCAGGGCTGGGGTGGGGGAAGAAAGGAACAGCTAATGAGTTCCAGGAGGTCAGCTGAGAGGGGCCCACAAACCCATAAAACCTTTACTGGCGTCTCAGGAGGGGAAACCCGGATGTGGCCATGTGTTTGTGTTGGACTCCACTTTTCTCTTCTCTTTACAACATGCACTTCCAGGGCTGTTACTAGATTTTTAAAGAAACAGCTTTCTTTTTCTATCAGGGAGGACTGTCTTCCTCAGTCCTGAGGAAATGGAGGGCTGTTCGTATAGAGCTTTAGCTACTGCCCTCTGGCAGACCACCCCCCAGATCCCAGGGTCCTTGAGAGACCCCCAGCTCCACCCCCAACTCTGCCCCACACTGAAGGGAGGGCCTGGGGCCCCTGCCAGGCATGTGGGCCAGCAGGCAGTCCTGCAGGAGCAGTGGGCCTGTCCCCCCACTCCTGCCCTGTCCTGGCCAGCAAGCGTTTGAGGTCAGGGCTTTGGGGAGCAACATCCCGGGATCCCTTCCTTCATAGCAGTACCAGGAGGGTGTCCAGGACCCTCTTCTGCTGCTGCCCTCCCCACCAGTGAGAGAATCTCTAGACTCCACGGCTTCCCTACCGGGGCAAAGTGGCCCACCCACCTTCATATGGAAGATGACTCCTAACCGTCAACCTGCAGGAGTTCCTCCTGCCCCACTCCCATGTGGGTGGCTAAGAGGCCTCTGCTGGGGCAGCTGCAGCCCAAGAGACGGCAGCATGGGATGGGGATGCTGAGGTTTGTGCCCCAGCTCCAGGGTGTACCTGCGTGGCCTTCCGGGTCAAGTGCCTACAGAGGCCATGGGTATGTGAGGACCCCAGCTCAGGAGGCCTGGGGTGTCCTGGGAAGGAACTGGGGCAGAGGTCTCAACAGGGACTCAGCAGCGTGGGGACTGGGCCCTGTTCTTAAGCTACTCTGGCTACAGATGTCAGTGGTGACAGAGGTGGGGAACAGTGCCCTGGCCAGAGGTGTCCTCCTGCTCCCCAAAGGAAAGCTGGCCTGACCTCACATCCCAACCAGGAGGCCACTACACCCTACCACCAGCTCTGCACCCTCCCTGCAGACCGTGTGGGAGACACTGAGGGGGAGAGGGACGTGGCGAGGCTGGGGGCTGAGAAGCAGAAGCTGCGGCAGTCCCTGCTCAGCCTGCACCAGGAGCTAGACTGGACCCTAAGGCAGAACCAGCAGCAGCAGGGGAGCTGCATCATTGGGGTCCTGTGCACTGCAGCCTTGGGGTGAGCCTGGGGTGGGCTCCGGGCCCGTCTCTGGCCTGGATGCACTGGATGCACCCATGCGGGAAAGCTGCACTGGCTCTTGCACATGACAGAGGCAGAGTCGAAACCCAGACCACAGTGGGGCCACCTGGATCAGACCGAGGTCCCAGACAGAGCTGGAGCCAGAACCGAAGGCTCCAGGGGCCCCGTTAGTGTCCTTTCTAGGTCCCCTGCTCTCCTGAAGTATCAAAAGTCCCCTTGGGAAGGCTGCGACCTCTGTGAGCCAAGCCTGGCTTTACAGAGCGGGCTGGGCCCGGGCCCAGGACCTGACACCCATGTGGACCTTGGGGCCTTGAGCCTCCCCATCCCTCAACCTTGGATGCCCTTAGGACCTGCCACCTGGCCAAGAGGAAACTGGGCTGCCCTGAGGCCGAGCCAGTGGTCAGGACCCCAGACCTGTGGGCTGAATGTGTGCTACACCAAGTCTGCTGGGGTCCTGGGCCAGGGCCAGCACCCTGTGCAGGACAGTGAGGCCAACAAAGGCCCAGGGGCCCCGAAGGAAGGGTGGGACCCCCCATCAGGCCTTGTCTCTGGATTCGGGCAGCCCTCCAGCAGGCAGACGCAGCACCCCGTGTCCTCACTGCAGGCCCAGGTGGCTGAACTGCAGCTGCATGAGCCGGCTACGGAGGCAGAGAGGCTGCATGGGGCCCAGCTCCCGGCCACAGAGGCCCTGGAATCCCGGGAAGAGACCCACCGGCCACAGGTGAAGCTGCTAGATGAGCAGGCGGGGCCTGGCCCAGCCTCCTGGAGAGTGGAAGGATGGGAGGAAAGCATCTTGTAGCAGCACCCTGCAGGGGTGACCGCATGGCCTCCACGTGAAGCTTCCACTCCACGGCTCTGTCCTTCCACCTTCTCAAGAGGCAGAGCTGTGGTTGACCCCACCCGTCACTGAGAGGGGGACTGTGGGTTCCAGGGAAGGTCACTGCCCTCTCTGGGCCTCTGTCATCCTGTTTACAAAGTGGGGTGTTGAGGATGGTTGCTGTCAGAGGTGACCCAGACTGGCTAGTCCTGTGTTCAGGGCCAGGACTGGGCCTGCCGTGCAGGTTGGGCAGAGGCAGCCCTGCACTGACCTTCAGGGTCACCAGGAAGAACAGCAGAGCACCCGTACTTGGTGGAGGGGAGTGTGGCAGGTTCTCGTACACGCACATGCATGGCACACCACACCCTCCTGTGCCTGTGCAGCACGCCTGTGGGCCAAACTGCCTGCTGCAGAGCCCAGAGCTGCCAGGAGCCGAGGGCCATGTGGTCAACCTCTCACTTTCCACAAGGACACTGAGAACCAGAGAGCAAATGACTGCCCAGGGTCGTCCCCAAGTGAATGGGCCTACCAGCCACATTTGCTCACTTTATAATAAAGCCCCTTCCCTATCATTCCCAGCATTTTCAAGGCCTGAACAGAAGGGGGTCCATCACTGGAGTGGGTGTCCTTAGGGAGGACCCTGGCACCCTCTGCCATTTCCCCTGGTGTTTCTCTCCCACACACACCTCCTCTCCTTGGGAGCCGTGGACCGTGGCCTCCCAGCCCAGCCTGGCTGCACAGAACTCTCTGTGCCCTGCACCTGGGGCCCCTACCTGACTGAGTTCCTGCCTGTCTGCAGGTGGCCACCCTGAGGGAGCAGCTGGACCAGGAAGCACAGCGACCACCACACACCCACCTCAGCCAGGCCTTGCTGGTCAGGCAGTGAGCCCTGCCGCAGACCACGGGGTGGCTGGGCTCTGCAGCCCTGACGGACCCAGAGTAGGCTCCAAGCAGAGATGCTGAGGGCCCAGGCTGCTGAGGGCCACGGCTGGGAGGCTGATGTCTGTGTGCCCCATGAGAGGGTGGCACAGTGCAGACAGAAGGCTCAGACAGCCACAGAGCGCTCGTGTCAGGGGCCTGTGGCCGCAAGCACTTCTAGTCCTGCAGACTGGGGAAGTCCTCCTGCCTCTGGGACCTAGGCCTCCGCCTCAGCTGGACACCCCTTCCCACAGTACACCCTTCACACTTCAGGCCACTGCTCCGGCCAGACCCCTGTGGCCAGGCCCTCATCAGGCCACTTCCTCAGCCACAGGCTGGGTCCCACCCTCTGCTCTGTAAACACGGGGAAGCGTGTGGAAAGCATTTCCACCGCCAGGGCCCAGAGCCGCCGTCCTGCCAGGCCAGCACCACACCCTGTCCAGAGGCCACGGAACCTCCGCGTCCAGGAGCTGCAGGCCCGTCCCCATGGCAGGTGGCTGGAAGTGACTCAGATTCCAGTCCCCGTGACTCACTGGCCACGAGGGGCGTTGCAGTGTGAAGTTGGAAGCTGTTCTGCAGCTGCCTGCTTTCCCAGCCTGTGACTGCAAGGGACAGTCCCATGGGACTCTGCTGTGAAGGCCGAGGCTGCTGGGCTAGGCCTGCCACTCAGCTCGCTGTTGGATCTTTCACCAGCTTCCCATTAGCACTGGTCAGTGTGACTTGTCCTCTGCAAATGGCTTCTCTCGTGCTGTAAGCTGTACATTTCCAGTATCTCTGGGGCACAAGCCGGTCCAGTGATTCCCACATGCAGCACAAGGACCAGGCTGCCTGCCCCGGGGCTGCTCCTGTCTTGGGCCCCTGGAATGCCCTCAAGGACTCTGGCGCCAGGCAGGGAGAACCCAAAGCTGACAGAGCCGCCCTGTCCCATTGTGGCAGGCCCTGGCCCAGGTGTGTGGCAGGCCCTGTCTGTCCACTGCAAGATCATTCGGCACTTAGAATTAGCAAGGAGTCAGCGAGGGTCGTGAGTCACACAGACCGACAGCTAGAGCCAGGAGGGAGGGAGGCCTCATTCTGCCCCTCTACTCTGCCTGGCTGTTAGTGGCTGCTAAGAAGTTTGCCCAGGCTCTGAGGGGAAGCCCCCAGAGACCCCTCAGCAAGGGCTACTCTGGGCAGAGAGTAGTCCTGTGTCTTGCTGGCACGGGACTCTTCTGCGAGCTGTGGCTGGGTGCAGGCAGCAGTGAACTCCGTGGAGGCCAGCAGGTGTGCCTCTCGGCTGCCGGGCGGTGTCCACGCCACACCCCCACAGAGGACTGAGAGGTGATGGGGCAGGAGGCCGGGCAGCCCCAGCCCTGGCTCAGGGAGCCTGTGTGCCCAGCCTGCAGCCTGGCTCTCCTGTTTCGTGGTGCTGCTCATGGCAGAAGCTCCCAGTGGAGTCGGGACTTGGCAAATGTGCACAGAGGGACCTGCTTCAGCTGTGGGGGCTCCAGGTCACTTCTCAGCATCAAAAAGAAAACCACGTGTCATTCAACCAGTCTGCTCCCTGGCCACTTGGGACCCTCCCTGTCCTGGAGGTTCCGGGGGATATTCAAAGTGCCTGTGAATCTGAGATCTTTGTAGTTTAACGAATATTTAAATCGGCAGAGGAGATACTGTTTTTACTTACTCAACACAAAGGTATATATTTAGGAAAAGAGGATTTTCCACATGGAAACACTCTGGTGGGTGCCTGAGCACTGGCAGTGCTGTCAGACCTCAGTGTGTCAGAGTTAGCCATTCCTGTAGCAGCCCTCCAGGCACCTGGCTTGGGGGTAGGAAGCTCTACTTCTAGATCAAGGCCACATGACCATTGGCTGGACGTGGGTCAGGCCCGGAACTCCCCAGCACCTGCTGCAGCTCACCGCTTCTGCTCAGCAGGGAAGACAAAGATGTGCCCCCCTGGAGAGGAAGCCAAGGGAGGAGAGGCTGAGATGTGCAGGCAGTGGGCAGGGGAGAAGGCAGCCCTCCACCTTTCCCAGAACACGGGGGGAAGACCATGATGGAGCTGCACTGACCTGCCTCCACCCAACCTGCTCCCAGAATGCAGGGGTGGGGCACGCCCACTTCCCCCGCTTCACCCAAGGTGGGGGCCTCTGACCCTGACGAGACCCCAAAGAGCTCATCAGTGGCTTGAGAGATGCCAGCTTCAAGTTCAAGAGCAGCTCTGCCCCCGAGCTGTGCATTCAACCCGGACAGGCTCCTGGTGTCTGTGAGAACCTGGAGGTGGCTCTGGGCCTGGACCCTAGGGCACTCCTCTCTGGACACTTCGGGCAGGGCTTCGGAACACCAGGAAACACTCGTGCAGTGGCCCAGAGGTAGGCAGATACCCACAAAACCCCAGACACAGGCCACGCTTGCTGCCTCTGCCGAGGGATCTGGGACTGGGGAGGGTCCCACCGGCCTCTGACGGGGCAACTCTGAGCAGACCCGCATGTGCACAGGCCTGGGGGCTCCCACCTCCCAGGCATCTCAAGATGGTGCCACAGACTACAGAGGGGAGAGGGCCCCGCATAGGACCTCAGCTCCATCCCGAGACGACAGGCCAGCACGCGGGCTGAGGCAGGGCTAGGACCTCAGCTCCATCCCAAGACGACAGGCCAGCACGCGGGCTGAGGCAGGGCTAGGACCTCAGCTCCATCCCAAGACGACAGGCCAGCACGCGGGCTGAGGCAGGGCTAGGACCTCAGCTCCATCCCAAGACGACAGGCCAGCACGCGGGCTGAGGCAGGGCTAGGACCTCAGCTCCATCCCAAGACGACAGGCCAGCACGCGGGCTGAGGCAGGGCAGAGCTCCGCCGCGACACGACTGGGGCAGAAAACAGGCCAGCTGGAAACCACATACGGCTGACTTGGGCTCCTCAAACATTGATGGTTTTCAAGTAGACCATGGGTGGCTTAACTCTGGACGTGTTCTGAGAAGTGAGTCAGCAAGAGTGCTGCCACATTGCCACATGTGTTCACATGCCCCAAGACAGTGTCAGTGACCCAGGTGGTACAATCTGCTGGGATCCCCATCCCACATGAGGTCCCTGCTTGATGGAATCGTCCTGCCACAGCCAGCACCCATGACCCCAGACCCACAGGGGCCCTTAGGTGAGGCCTCTGCAGGGCACACTTGTTCAGGAGGTCATCTCCATGTGACCGCCACTGGGGTCTTTCGTGTCTCTAAAGATGCCTCGGAAGCATGGCTACAGGCTTCAGAGCCTTCAGAATGGAGAGGGCCCTGGGTTCCCCACCTGCCCTCCCTCTCTTGGCTGCCCTGGACATCAGGAAGCAGAGACTGGCACTGTCCCTGCAGGGATAGATTCCAAGGCACCTCGTGGAGCCTGGAGGGGCACATGTCGCATTAGGCCCATCCTGGGCCCCCAGGCGTGACCCCCTAGGCCAACCCCCTGCCGTGGACAGAGGGGACAACGTAGGCACTCAAGAAGACAGATGAGGCTGCCTGCAGGAGAGCAGCCTCAGCAAGGCCAAGGGCCCCGGGCCTGAACCCGCCTGCTGGGCCTCTTCAGCTCCTCTTTTCTCTAAATAAAGCAGCAGTGACCACCTCAGGAAGCATATGCCCAGCGCTTTCTGATCATTTCCCCAAGATCAATAGCAAGGTCCCGTCATGGGAGCTGGGGTGTGAGGTTCCCTGCGCATGTGGTGGGGGTCTGGGTTGGCTGTGCTGTCCCTCCCTTCTCTGCCTCAGTGGCCAGCCCCATAGGGCAGTGGCCAAGTGGATGGCCAGGGTGTAACTCCTCAGGAGCTGGGCCCACCCCACGTCCCTTCGACCTCCCTAGCCTCCTCCTGATATAGGTGGAGGTTGACTGGGAGTTGGGGCTTTGGGCCATGCCCACATGAGGGGACCCACTGCTCTGGCAGGGGACTTGTACTCCACCAGCCACCTCTGGGACGGGAGCAAAGTTGGGGGTGGACTGCAACCCAGACCCTGCCCTGTAGGACAGCTGTCCAAGCCCAGTCTGACCCTCCCCCAGCCCCCAGATGTGGGTGGGTGGACCCTGCATTCTGGGACATCCTGAGGGTGGACTCCAGGTCTCCCCACCTAAACTGCACACATACTCCGGCCTGAAATTAAAGTGTCACAGGCCTGTGGGGTAGGCTCAGGTTTCCTGCCACAGAACATGAGCCTGCTTGATAGAATGATCCTGGTCTTGATAAATGTGGACTTTCTGTTGTAGAGACAAAGGCGTCCTTGAGACCAGAGGGAGGCCTAAAACAGCAGTTGCTGAAAAGTATTTCCTGATAATATTTTTAGCACCTGAAACTTTTTTTCTTTTCTGCCTGTGGAGTTGTGTGCCTTTTTCTTTTAATGACCCTGTGTTAACCCCCACTCTCCCAGACCCAACTAAAAATCTGCAGAGGGCTGAGGCTGGGGATAGTCAGCAAAGCTGGGGCAGCGGTGGTCACCGCCACCTGGGGTCAGAGGTTGGAGGGCGTGGCCTGCTGCTGGCCTGGCTCACAGACTCAACTCTGGGCACGCCCAGAGCTATTCGGGGGATTCCTCCAGGTGGTGGGCCAGGACCCCTTGTCCAGGCCCACCCCTCCCCTGCACCTCAGGAACAGTCTTAGACTCAGAGCACTTACTCATACCACTGCTCTTGGCCATGTGCTGGGCCCGGAGGCAAACCTACTCCAGGGATCCCCAGGTAGGCCCAAACCCTGACTAGAAATGGGCCTTTACCCGTGTCCTGAGGCCTGTGCTCAGAAGGGTGACTGCCAGCCAGGGCAGCCTGTGCAGCCTGCTCTAAGGTGCAGGCCCTGGGCTGGGCTTGGAGGGCAGAAGAGGAGGGTGCTGTAGGAAGGAGGACTCAGGGAGCAAGGGGTATGCTCCTCGGGCTCAAGGGGTCTTGCGTCAGGTTGGAGCTGCCCTTCTACCTGGGAAAACAAAAACTAAGAAAACCAGGACTTCCCAGAGGTCCCAAGCCTATTTGGGGGCAGGGGGACAGAGACTGCCGGGTTTTCGTAGAACCAAGACAGTCTGAACAGTATGTCCTCTTGACTTGGTCTCCTGGCAGCTCTGCCCTTGAGGCCAGTCCATAGGGACTGCACCCTGGACCCCCTGGCCTTCACAGGGGGATATGGAGAAGCACGACATGGTGGTGTGCTGTCCTGGGGGTTCTCAAGGCCAGGAGCCCAGCGCCAGGGCCAACCCTCCCACTGCTAATTGAGGGCACAGCCTCGATTTGCCCCTCAGCAGAGCAGGATGCTCTACCAAGCAGGGGAGGGACACAGCAAGCCAGGCCCAGGTGCAGGGTGCAGGAGTGCTCTGTGGGACCCGCCTGCAGGGCCAGCCTGACATGGATAGCCACCAAGCCAGGACCCATCACCCAGCACAGAGAGGACAGTGGAGACTGTGCCCCAGGACTCCAGTCTCTGCCTGGGGCTTAGGGACGCTGAGGTGGACGGGACTGGGCCCTGAGGGAATGACAGGGCCAGCACTACCTGAGGTGAGTGGTCCCAGAGGCAGAGAGAAGGGTTGGAACAGTCACAGGCACGGGACACCGACTCCATATGGAGGCTGCTGAGAGCCCTGCCCTTCCTGCCCCCAAGTCCTGAGTCTCCCAGGGAGGACGGCTCTGCCTAGGGTCTGCCTTGGCATCTTGTCAAAAGCAGGACCACGGCGGCTGGGGCGGCGGCTGCTGTCGGTGCCCTTCTCGTTTTTTGGCGCCGAGCACTCCGGACTCTAGTAACTCATCCTCTGGTGAGTACCTGGACCCAGAAATTTCCCCTGATGTGGTTATGCGTTTCAGAAACTGTTTTATGCCTTGACGACTGCCAGGGCCAGGGTTTGTCCTGGCATGGAGCGAGAGCCGGAGTACACTCTGGGAGGAGCTTGCCCTGGTGCTGAGGAGAGGCCGCTCCTCCAGGGGGCTGCGGAGCCAGCGTCAAGGACGGAAGCTCCATCAGGGCAAGGACTGCGTCACCTGGACAAAGTCCCTGGAGGGCACCCGGAGTTCTGCCCCTCCGCCCAACATCTGGGGCAGCCCTTCGGAAACAGGTGTGCCTCCGAATTGCTCTGCCGACTCAGACACATCCTTCGGGCCCAGGATGGAGCGAGCCTGGGAACCGCAGAAGAGGACACCCCGCCCCAGGACGGGCGCCTGCCACGTTCTTGCCTCGCCAGTGCACAGGCCGGGGGAGATCTAGGGGTGCGAGGGCCCCCATGAGGCCTCCGGCTCCAGTCCTACCCAGCGCCGGCACCAGCGACCACTGGCAGGGACCCCTGCGCGCCCCTCCTTCCCGCGGAGCCTGGCGCTTTAAGAGCCACAAATTTGCATGGCCCCGCCCGGCCCCGCCCCGCCGAGCGGCGCCGCGCCGGCTATTTAAAGCGCGGCCCCGGGGGCGGAGGGCCAATAGCGGTCCCGCCCTGTGCCTTCTCCGCGGAGCGGGCGCGGGCTGCGGAGCCCACCGAGAGCGCGGCTGGCCAGTCCCTGCGCGGCCACCTGCCCGAGCCCTGCGAGGACCGCGCGTCCCGCTCGCAGACCTGGCGATGCCGAGCGGCGCCGCCTGGGCGCTGCTGCTGGCTGCGGCGCTGGGGCTCTGGGCGCACGGGGTGCGCGGCGCCGTGGCCCTCGCCGACTTCTACCCGTTCGGCGCCGAGCGCGGCGACGCCGTCACCCCAAAGCAGGACGACGGCGGCTCGGGGCTGCGGCCGCTGTCGGTGCCCTTCCCGTTCTTCGGCGCCGAGCACTCCGGCCTCTACGTGAGTAACCCCAAGCTCGCGGGGGCGCCAGGGAGGGCGCTGTGCCCCGGCCGCTGCCCGCCGGCCCGGACTCACGCTGCCGCCGCCAGCTACTTGGCACCACGGCGGCCAGAGGTGGAATGAGGACAGCGCTTCCTCCCTTCCGCGGCCGGGGCCGGACAGCGGCCGGCGGGAGAGGCGCGGGCAGGGCGGGGCGAGAAGCAGCCAGGCCACCTTGGCCTCAGCGCGCGGAGCGGTGCATCCCTGCCGCTGGCGGGCTCGCCCGCAGCATGCACCCTGAGATGGGTCCGGAGCCTGGTGGTGACCCTCGCCCCGCGTTGTTTCCTTTTCTGACAGCGATGTGGCTGCAAGGAACAGGGCCTTGAGCCTGGGTTTCCAGAGTGGGGCACTTGGCCTGCGATCCCTTCCCCTCCCAGGCCACTTCGACCCCGCCCCCAGTTGATTCGGGAGGCCCAGTGCCAGCAGACTGACCCTCCCCACTTCTCAGGGCTTCTTAGCAACTCCGCCTGGCCAGGGCTGGAAGCCAGCTGCAGTGTAGGGGGGCTCTGGCTGGAGTCAGTGAGCTGTTTCTTCTCTTGACCCTTCTGAGTCCCAGGGAGTCCAACAGGACCCCCAGAGGGAACTGCTGGAGCCCCGGGGGTGCAGGAAAAGGCCTGAGTGACAGTTCTGTCTCCATGTACCCAGGGTGTGACTGCTGGGCCAGTCACTTGAGGGCCACCCAGGGGATGAAGCATGGTGAGGTGGCCTCTGTGCATAGGTCCCCAGTGGTCCCCTGAACCACCACATGCTAGGACAGGCTGGTATATAGTCATTCCAACACCATTGCCCCAACCAAACCCGGGTCACATCTACCACCATCACTCTTCTCATTAGCACTGCCACCTGTGTCCTCGCTAGAACCACCAACACTGCCATCAGCAACACCACCTACTGTCACCCCTTCCACCATAAGCATCACCACCACGTGGTCCCTAACATCTCCAACACCACTCCCCTCACCAGACAGTCTTCTGCACTGCCCTCAGGTCTTCCCCATCCCATCCAGAAGCAGCACAACCTCCAATATCCCTGTACCTGGACAGCCACCCCAGGGGCCACTCTGCAGCCTGGCAACTCATTTCCCCACGCCCACCCAGGGAGCATCTGGGGGTGGGGCTGGGGGCATCCTTTCTCTAGAGATGCCACCTGAAGGTCCCTCTGGGCCAGGAATTGACAGAGGAGCAGACTGTACTCCTAGACATGCAAAGTGGTCAGGCAGAGCTGAGTTCAGGTCTGCCCAGCCAGAGGAGAAGAGTCCATCTCAGGAATGGGAAAGCCCCGTGTCAGCACTGTCCTGGCAGAAGTCTGTCCAAATGTTCCTTAAGCATCTGGGCCAGTATCATCTTCCCACTCAAAGTCACAGTGAAAATACTAGCAACACCGTTGACCCTCTAAACAACCTCACCGAAAACAGCTATTCTTGCCAAAACAATGGGAGACATGGTTCTGAAGTGGAAAGTTTGGCTAAAAAACAAAGGTGTCATCAGAAATGGCTCTTGCAACTGTTCTTTCCTGAAACACAGGTTTACCGGGAACACCCTGGCTGTGTGGATGGACTGTGTGCAGGGCCATTCACCTGTCCCTTTTTCAGTGGGCAGAGGACGGAGTTCTTCAGGGAGCTGAAGTACCTGAGCGGGCTCTGTGGTCAGGGAGGGAAGCAGATGCAGGGTGTGGAGAGAGGTTAGGTCCAAGGCAGACACAGAGAGCGGAGGCGTTCACTGCAGGGCCTTTCTGGGTGTCCATGCGCCCACCCTGCAGACAGGATTCTGCCCTGGGTGTCCCTGTCTGGCTCTCAACACTGCACAGCAACTCCCAGCCCAGGCGCCTGTGTGGCCCGAACAAGGACCTTCTATGTGGCCTCTGCTCCCTCTGCCTTCAACCTGTGGCTTGGCCAAGAGCAGGCTGATGGCATGAACGAGTGAATAAAAGCTCTGTCCCTCTGTACTGGCCTCGGTCATGTGGGGAAGGCAGCCGTGCCTGTGTGGGGCGAGTGCTTCTTCAGTCTGTGTTAGAAACAGCTTGCCGAAATGGCCCCGGCAAGACAGGGCCACCTCAGGTGGGCGGCCCCTGCCTGGAAGGGGCCCCCTGTTCTGCTTCTTTCTCGTGTGACAGCTGTTGCACCTGGCTAGTTGTGAGGCTCTGGGAAGGCTGAGGGCCACACCGACAGGACTGCCACTAGCCCGCTGCAGGTTCTGGGTAGTGATGGGAGCTGGGCCGTGGCCTGTGGGACCAGTGGGGCCTGTGGAAGAGGAGTGGTCTGCTCAGGCAGATGTGGACCATGAGAGGGAATGCCTGTTTCTCCCAATTAGCTGAAGCCACAGCCCCCAGGTGCAGCCCCACCCAGGGGAGCATCCGAGGGCCACACAGAGAATCTTTGTGTGTTTAGCACAAGCAGACTGAACGGTGGCCTTGGGTAGCACACCACTTCGGCCTCTGTCCCTTCTTTGCTAGTGGAAGAGAGTGCCTGGGGAGCAATTCTGTTAAGGTGTGGAGCCCTGGTGGGCCCAGGAGTCTCTTATGGTGTGCAGTGGATGGGGCATGAGGCATATCTCCAACCTGAACTGCTGGGGCGTGGACAGAGTCCTGTCTCCCTAGAGAGAACCCTTCACCCAGCCCCCTGGAGGCTTCTCCCAGGGGTCTGTCAGGTGCTGTGCCCTCATATACTGTGACAATCCCTTATCACTGCACCTCTTTGTCTTTTGAAAACTTTGGAACCATTCCAAGAAACATAGAACCCTGAGTGGGAGGGACCAGGAGTGGGCAGTGTCCCTGCAGAGCCCTTGGTCAAGAAGGACTGTTGACGTACAGAATGCCCTTGAACTCTTGCTAGCCATCTCAGCTCTCATGCCCTGGGAGGCCAGGCTTGGGTCCACACCCATCTGCCCAGCCTTGGATGGCCTTCCCACCCAGAGAGCATGGTCCCAGCACTCCCCTCCCCAGTATGGGGTGAAGCAGGTGTCTATAGGCAGCTGGTGGACTTTGCCTGGCCATTCCCTCCACCAGCCTCAGTTTGCCTAACCATGGAGAGTGGTTTCTCCCACCATGTCTATTGGCCTCTACCTGGGGCAGGGGGAGCAGGAGAAACAGCCCCCCATCTACCAGGAAGGTCGTGGAGAGGGGGAGGCGCAGAGGCTGTGTAACACTGAGACCACTGCAGCCTGGCCAGGGCAGACACTGACTTCTTGTCGTGGCTCCTCAAAACCTTCAACAAAACCCTCATTGCACCTGGGTGATTGGCCTCGACTCTTTTAGTGAGTGCATAAAAGTATAGCATTTGATCTTTTTAAAAATCCAGTCTGGCAATCCCTTCTTTTTAATGGAGTATTGAGTTCATTTACATTTAGTGTGATTTATAGTATGGTTGGGTTTAATGTCTCCTCTGATTTTTTACATCTGTTCTTCTTTGGGATTTTTGAAATGGTTTCATGTTATCTCTAAATTATAGGCTTATTAGTAATATATCTCTTTTAAAAAACTTTTTCATGATTGTTATAGTTTCAAATACATTTTAACTTTATATGGTATATCTTCAAACAATATTATACTCTTCAAATACAATGTAAGAACCTTATAATAGCATAATCTATTGTTGCCATAAATGTTGATTTACGTATGTTATAAACCTGATAATACACTGTTAATATTTTGCTATAAATAACTAATTGTCATTTAAAGGGATTTAAAAGTTAGAAAGTCTTTGATATTTACTCACCTATTTACCATTTCCAGTCTTCATTTCTTGTGTAGATCCAGATTTCCAATTTATATTATTTTTCTTCTGCTTGAAGGACTTCCTATAATGTTTCTGGTATAGGCCTGCTGGGCATAAATTACCTTTTCTGATAACTATTTTACTTAGCTCCATTTTGAAAGATATTTCTGATGAATGGTGTAGAATTCTAGGTTAACTGTGTGATTTGGGGATTGGTTTTTTTGTTTCGTTTCCAGTGTGGAAGAGATGCTGTTCCATTGTCTATCAATCTGCATAGTTCCTAATGGGAAGTCTGCTGCCTTCTTATCTTTGTTCCTCTGTGTATAATGTCATTTTTCTCTGTTTTCAAGATTTTCTTTTTATCACTGCTTTTCAGCAATTTGATTTTTAGGTGCATTGTTATGATGTTTTTTATATTTCTTCTGCTTGTATTCATCATTTTGGATATATAGTTTTCATGAAGTTTTGAAAAGATTCTCAGCCATCTTCATTTTTTTTCTCCTGTTTTTGACCTTCTCATTTGAAGACTCAAGTGTATGTACATCAAACTGCATGTAATTTTTCCATTGCTCATTGAAACTTTGTTCACTTTTTGTTCTGTCCTTTTTCTCTATGTCCTTGATTTTGGATATTTCTATTTTTATGTCTTCAAGTTCACCAATTCTCTCTTCTGCAGTGTTTAACCCATTAATCCCATTCAGTGTGTTCTTGTTTCAGCTATTTTATTTTTCACTGATAGAAGTTCTATTTGGATTTTTCTGCATCTTTCATTTATTTCCTCCTCATCCTGATGTTTTCTTTTATATTCTGAGCATAATTTTAATATTTATAATAGTTGCTTTAATATAATTACCTTCTAATTTTAGCAAGTAACTTTAATACGATACTTCATACACCTGCAAAGTAAAATTAAAAGAATGGTATCCAAATATCAAACTGTAATTTTAGCCTATTTTTTCACAGTGGTATGGTTAGTGATTCTGAACCTGTAGAGTGAAGGAGTGAACATATTGAGGATGATGTGTGCTTCACTCTTGAAGATGGGAGTTACAGATGTGGAAAGGAGGAAGCACAAACAAAGCCAGTGGTTTTTATGTTGGATAGGAATTGGTTTATATCAATATAAACTCACATTATCCTGTGCGGATGGATGTATATTGTTGCAGATGGATTCAGACATACCCAGGTATGTACATACAAACATTTGGTCATGTCTCGCATGACCACAAATACAATAATGGTCCCATAA